CTAAGGAAGAGGAAATAGTAGAACTAATTATAAAAAAAGTAAAAAAAAAAAAGAAACAAAACAAAAAAAAAAAAAAAAAAAAAAAAAAAAGGGAAAGAAAGTAAACAACCATCTGAAAACTCAGTGTTAAGCTCTTCCAGTAAGTGTTGTCCTGTGGACAACAGAAAGCTAACAAGGTTTTCTTATTCTCTTACACCCCAAAGTGGAGTGTAATGCAGATAAGGAAACTGGGTTCTGAATTCTTCGAGAGGTTTTAACTTGGTGAAAGATAAAATTTTGCRTCTGTGATCTGATTCTGATCCCTTTCTCATCTGATTCTCTATTACGGAAGCATTAAAGTTTGTAGTTGGAAAGCTTTATCTACCACTAAMATTGTGGAAGAGCTATGAGGAGAATGTCCGCAAAAGCAGTTAGTTTTCAGGTGATGGTTACTTCATGACTGTTGGTTGTCTTCCGACAAGCAAATTCTCTCCTCCCTTCCTTCCCTATTTGTCTCCCTTGGCAGTGATGCACTCTGCTTTGTTATTGTATGATGGAGAATCGCCAGAGTTACTGTCAGGAGGTGCCACTTCAGAGCAGAGTATGTGAGAAGCTGTATGAGTGTATGAGTGAGGTGTGTGATGCTGGCAGAATTGATGAAAGTGAAGTGAGATGAYGACATGTGGTTATGAAGGTTAGGGCCTGGTGCAGTTTTTTCATCAATGTATTTTTCACTTAGAGCTATCCTCAYAGAGGTGTTTTGCACTAATGTGAACTGGCTTTTACCACAATATAGCGTATTGCCGCTGTTATACGCACAATGATAACATACAAGAGTTTAAATGCAGCTTCTTTGTAAACCTAGCAGCTTCATCCCCTTAGGGTCTACCCAGTGTGCTATTGGAACAGAGAATATCTGACCTCATTTTATGGCAATGGCACATTTTTAGTAACATTTCTTCCCTTCAAAGTGCTGTTTAAAAATAAATGACACTATGCTCAGCAGTTTTCTTCTTTTTATTGTATTAACACTGTTATAGCCTCAGGTAGGCACTAGGCAGAGCCTTGCTCGCATGGAGCTTACACACTAGCTTTCAGAACTCAATTTGATTATAAACTCTCCTGTACATCTCCAATCTACATAGTCTCAGATGAAACTAACTCTGAGTTAGGTCTTGATTCTAGTACTTCAACAAGTCTGCACCTAGATTCAAGACCAGAATCAGGTCTAATTATAACCTGGGCTTGCTGAAGTTATTCCTGACTTCTTTTGCTGCAAACACTAACAAAAGCACATGCTGAAGCCTGATCAGGCTGAAGTCTGATCCATTGCATCTGTAAATTGCTGTTTTAAAAAAAAAGGAAAACTAAAAAAAGTCCTTGAGCATAATACAAAATATACATCATATTTCCATCATTATTTGCAGCTGTGCCAACTCAAAAGTGCAGTAAACTTTCCATTACAAAAACTGATTTAGCCATTTAAGTAAAACTACTTAAATACAAGTAAAACTGCTAACCTTAAGTGGTTAGGTGATGGATACAAAACTTTACCCAGTGCTGTGCCTTCCCTTTACTCGGGAATAGTTTTGTTTCCAGGCAAGGGGGAAAGTCTTATTGTCTTGGACAAAATAAAATCCAGTGAAGACAAGTGAATTGAATCACTGCTGTCTACTTGATGAATTGTTTAAATTCTCCAAAAATTTGCGGGTGGGATACAGACCTATACCTTCTACTGAAGGCATAAGAGGGAAATCTGGCAGAATGCTGAATTCCCTTGCAAGCAGCACCAGAAGTGAAAGATGGTACCATCTGCTTCACTGTGAAATTCCCTTTCTGGCCTGGAGTGCATGACCCTGGTTATACAGCAACTTCCCACACATATGGGTGTAGGGCTTTGCATTTTTCCTCTGCAAGAATTGAAGCAGATTTTTTTTATCTTTACTTTTAGAGAATTTGCCTTCTGGGTTCATAACTACAAATCAGGAGCTTATTCTTGAAATTTACACAATTGCTACATTTCTTTATTTTTTAAATAATTGCTTTGGCCACAGACTCAGCTGGTGGCAACAATCTTGTTAGACAATCAAGATCAGTATCCAGATTGTTTTTCAGAATGTTTTAAAAAAACTCAAAAATTAAAACATGGCATTTCATAGATATAAGTCCAAACATTCTTAAGACTTTACTGAATGCCGTCCAGTGCAACTGAAAATTAATCACTTGCCAAAGAAGTTGGCTCCCAATTGATTATTGATTAAAAAGACTTAATAAAACTCTTAAGCATGCTGAAGTCTTATTTTTGAAAAGCTCTCCAGAAAATAATTTTAAAGGTACCTCAGCAAAATGAAGAACTAGCTTTGTGGAAGACAAGGCTTGATGTTCTAAGTCAGTTAGGCATTTTTACGTATTTTGCTCCTCCAGTGAATCACCCCTAAGTCAGAAACAATCTTAACTGTAGGTCAGCATACATAAAGACAACACACACTTGTCTCACAACAGATCATTGCTGCTAGCCACAAGAAGGGAGACAAAAGGCCAATTATCTTGACTATTACCTGTCTTAACAGCAGGAGCCTTCCCCAGACTGAGCTGGCACTACAAGGGAAGCAGTGTAATAAACAGAACGTGAGGAATTTGAGATGTTGGTAACCAACACAAAGTCACCCAAGTGCTGTGTAGTTAACAGGGCTCAATCCAGAATAATAAAGTAATTTACTGTTTAAGATGCAAGTTATCTTCTTCCAGACATGGAATCACATGTAACAGGCAAGTTGGTCATATTGAGCCTTGTTCTCCTGCAGGCCACTAAGATGCTAAAGGAAGAAGTGCAGAACACAACTGCTAGAGCTTAAAGCTTCACTCTCCTCAGGCCTAGCAGCAGCTTTCTTCTTTGGTTCAGCATCCACTTATGCTTGGAAAAATCTTCCRTTGGAGAGTTAAAGACAAAATCTTGACTATTTCCCTATTTATGCCAAAAGCTAATCTGCGGTCAGATAGACTGCTAGGTTAAAGCACAGTGCAACGGTATTGCTAGTGCTCCCCAAGATGAAATGTGAAAACAAGTCATAACAGTGCAGAGACCATGTTGAAAGTGGTTGTGAAATTCATAATTTCTTCTTATAAAGACAGTATGCAGAAGGCAGTTATATATTTACCTRACAATATTTTCCAAAAACGGTATACCTGTGATTTAATTGTGACCTTAGTGCAAGGAATATGTGATCCTTTGGAGCCATAACGCCCATCCAGTTGTCCTGTAACGCATGGATAGACATCTTGATGTGCAGTTTCCATTTTGTAGTTTATAGATTAGTTAAGACAAAGGTTTGCTGGTGCAAATCATTTCTCTAAAACAATAAGGATGGAGCTAGKCAATGATATATTGAATTTTCTTCTCCCAGGCTGGAAACAGTATTCACCGCACATTCATCATGAAGTTAATAGAAAATGTCCTTTACACATATGGTACTTGTCAACTGAATTATGAACTGATGCTGCCCCACAATAATCTGAAATAAATTGCTCTGTTTCAATCTGCAGTGGGTCAGGAGAAGGGTTGCTGGCACAATATGTTACTGTAAACTCCGGACCTGCCAGTTCTAAAGGGCTAAGTTTGTTTGAAAGGCAAAAATATACAAGAAAAAGCACTATAAATCATTTGTGGAAAAAAAAAAAAAAAAACTGTCCTGCAGTTACTCTTACAATAGAGTAGAATTTGTAAAATATTTCCATCTATAAAAAAGACACTTTCATTAAAAATGTTTAAATGTTATTAAACTTTAAGGCACTCCAGCTGAAGAACTGATTGGATCACACTACTGTTAGTGGCTCAGATGTCCTCTCTGTATCCCCATCACTGTATCTTCAGTCCTTGTCCTTTGTGAGTTCTGTAATTTCATCCATATCTTCTATATCCTGGGTCATTTTTTCATACTGTCTCTTGAAGAAGCCAAGCTGTAGGAAGATTTAAAATAACATGTATCATTAAAACTAGCTCTCCCTTAGTATAATTGCTAAAATAGGATATTAACAAGAACCATTTATTTAGTCATTTRCAGCTACATTTCTCAATTGAGCTAATGTTATAGTGGTAGAAAATGCAAATCTGTATGTATGTACTCACATGTAGTGTTTAATTTGTTGCACTTTCTTAACTAAAAAGTGAAAAGAGGTGGGACATAAACTGCCTGGCATAACCAAATACCAGTTTATATATTTAATAACAAATACCAAGACAATGCTGTTGCCTCTCTGCTAAAATACAGGAGCCTGAAGACCTCTCCAGGGTGTCTTGGCATGCCATGGAGCTGTTTAAACACCARTGCCCTGGCACAAAGACACATTTTTCCCTGCCCTTAAACTAGTTGCTCTTTGTACACCACATATAGCTCTATAGGCTTTCTCCGTTCTCTGTTCAGTGCATATCCTCTGTCTCCTTGGTCTCCCTCGGTGATTCCTACTCCCCTGCCTTGCCTGCCAGGAGTATCACGGGAGCGCCTGGAGTCCAGCTGGGCGGTTGTTGATGTCAGAAATGCCACTGTCCTTGTTTTGAGCCACTGGCAAGTCAATTAACACCTTTGTGTGCCAATATCTATGGCCACTTAGTAGCTTTTCTCTCTAAATTTTTTAAAATACACGTACATGCTAGCTCCAGCATGCAGGACCACTGCAGTATTACTCTTACTGCCAAACTGCATGGGCAGTTTTTTCCAGCACTAGAGAAAGATTCCAAAGAAAAAAGCCCAAGCGCATTTATGATGAAACGTTATTTTCTGCTTTTCTTTGCAGGAATATAAACACATACTTACTTTCCATAAAACAGCAATCAATGCTAACAGCAAGAAGAGTCCAGCCAATATACTGCCAATCACAACACCAACTGGTATCTCAGCCTTCTCATCCGGCTTCATTATTGTAATTGGGATCTGAAAGCAAACAGATATGCATGTTATGGGTTAACATTAACAATGTCAAAAGGTTTTTCTTTGTAAGGCAAATCCTTTACTTCAARGTTCGCTGGGCTGTACGTATGCCAGGAAAAAAAAAAGCGCCTTTGACACCCCAGGCAGTTGCAGCCCCTTACACTAGTGTCCCCTGGTACCAGTTTGCATCTCTGTGGCACACTGGAATCCCTTTTAAGGACTAGGCTCCCTCATCACTGCTGGCCATACACTGGTAGAGAAGCAGGAACTTCCCATCAGTTTTCTGCTTCTTCAGTAAAAGGAATTCTTTTGGTGTCACCATACTGCATAGACTTTTCCGTCACTGGAAAAGCTGGATATGCTTGAACATACACTGGGAAMAGGATCATGCAGATCCACCATCTGCTCAAAACAGGTTTCCTCTACGTCAGCTAGAGAAGAACTGTGCCCACTGGCTGCTGGTGGAGTCTGATATCTGTGGTGGCCAGCTGTGACAGGGCAACCTAGTTACAGAGTCCACACTCTTGTGCATTCATAGTGGCTGCAGACATTTCTGTCTTTCTCACTGGAGATCCTCTCTCTCTTTTGCCTGCTCTCCTGATCAGCTTGGAAAGGCACTAGCAACTTGTAAGGTTCTCCCTGTCCTTCATGTTAATGTGTGTTCTCTTGAGATGACTGCATGATTTTGCAGCAAGATGTATGATTCAGACAGAAATATTTCTAACACACTTATGCTTCCTGCTGGTCAGAAGGAATAAAGTCAATACCAGAGAGCTCTCATAACAGTATATACAGTACTTGGAAATTAGTTTTCTATCTCTTTGCATTGGGTATTACCAACTATATAGTTACATGTAGCATAGCTGCTAAAGAAGATATTTACCTAATATTTATGAACTGACAAATCTTTGGATTTAATCGTGGAATAACATTCATTCAGCATGAAGATTTTTTTTTTCCCTTCCTGAAACATGATAAAAGGAGRCATGTCGTTTTACTTTGTCAGGGTTGCTTGCTCAGTGCATTTGTCTGGTGTAATTTAATCTCAAGCTTTCTGGGAAACTTGTGCTCAACTGACATCTCAGTGATTTAAGTCATTTCTGCTGGAAGGCTCTAATGTTGTGCTAGGTGTGGCCATGTGTATTCATTTCACAGGGGCAGGCTTTGTGTATTTTCTAGTAAACTGGCCATAATGATGATTATAGCAGGTTAACATACTGTCCTCCAGCTGGCAGGCCTTACAACTTGGAAAAAAATCTGAAGGCTCTTACGCAAAAATATCTAAGCAGCTTCTCCACATCGATGATATCAGTTCATTTGGCTACAYTGCAGCCCAGCTCATCCAAATTAGAAGAAGCAATTTCATATGTGTGTGCAGCTTGCCTAGTAACATTCTCTCTAAGAGAAGATCAAGTGTGTAGACCTCTTCAAAATATATCTTGCTCAGACATCTTTCGGGGCTGCTTGTCTCAGAGCTCTAAGTGTCCCAGCTGCAGATGGCCAGTTGAAGAATTACTTTTTACTTTTTAACTGACAATTTCATCAGTTATTTGAAAGATACAGCTCTGGTTCTCCTGAAATCCCTAACAAAACTGCTAGTACTATAAAATTTGACACTACCACGGTTACAACTATGCAATATTGTGCAGTAATAGATGTTTTGTGAGCCACCTAAAGGCTTGTAGAATTACTCAGAATTTTTGAATGGTGTATAAAGAATTTCCATCTCCTGTAGAAATAATGTCATGAGGCTCAGGGCCCTGAGCACGCTTCCCAATACTGTTATTCTGTTATTCTGCAAAATCATGGCATTATTTTCAGAACTTCAAATATATTCCCTTTAAGTCTTCAGGAACTGGAGATTTCCCTGAGTACAAATGGGCTATTCACAGATTCTTTACAGAAACCGATACATGAGAAAGTAATAATAAAAATAATACTGAATTACAGCCTTATTTCTATTTTGAGATAAGTTAATCAGTAATTTTCCTGGTACGTATTTCACTGAGTTTTCCATTACCTATGACAGGGCTATGCTACCTTTCCTTGCTCTTGACTTCCTTGCTAACTTGCAGCTTGCTCATCAAAGTTCTTGATTATAATTTTATTATCTAAACTCATTATTGCAAATTGAAAAGTGTTACTCTGTAGATACATAAGAGAACAAGGATTTTTTTAAATTACAATAGCACTRTAGCAGAAAATTATTTTTCAGTGCTGCTTAGTTTGTATTTTAGTGGGTGGAATGCTGGGGAGAAGGATTCCAAACCATCAGGGTGGTGTGTTAGTGACTTTTCCTGAGATTACCTGTTCCATATGGTCCACCCACCATACTGTCCGCATTACTGTCATTCTGTATTCAGAAATACTCCACAATGTTTTACAAATGAGATTAAGTACATTTGCTGGTGAGCTGTGCCAAATATCTGTTTACAACTATCAAACCAAATACACTTCCACAAGTAGAGCTATAAATCAGATTTGCTAAAATAGTTCCCAGAGCTCATTTATCTAGGACAATTAATTCTTTTGCAGAAAGAAGTCTCGATTTTTATTTATTTGTTTTTTTAAGAACAGGAAGCTAAAGTGAATTTCAGAAGATTTCAATTGAGTTTTATTCATAGTAAGACAATCTGAGATATGTAGATTAAAATTCAGCTGATTGCTATTGTATACACAAAGCATAGATAAAAAYATTTTGCTTTCTTAAAGGGGATGTATATAGCTAAAGGACACTTCAGTTCAACATATTTGAATATTATCAGCACGTAGTTTGCTATATGCATTTCAGAGACGTTTCAGAGACATCATTTTAATGCACTAAAAGGTAGAGAAGTTAAATGTCTGTTTATCCATCACTTACAGTTAAGCTATTCTCTCCAATTACAAATAACGTAGGGTTATGCGTATCAATTTCTGCCTCTGCTGAGAGCTGTAGTGTCTGGAAAGTTGACTGCAAAAGAAGCGGAAAAGAAAAAAAAAAAAACACACCTGTAAAGCTTTATCAAAGTGCTAATCAACCAGAATATAAATATCCCCCCAAATTGAAATGAAGCCTTCAGAAGTAGGAAAAAATTGCCGCACTGAGAATACTAAAATTATTTTTCTTTATCTTGCGCTAACGTTTCTATAAAAACAAAAATGTATCCGGAAGAATTCTGCTATTTTTATTTATTAGTGATGAAACCTAGGAACTGTCTCTGCTTATTCATCATATTGTCGAGGTAAAACAGAAGAATTTGATGATATATGCATTTTTATAGCTATTTCAAAGCTTTCAAAGCTGTTAACTTTGAAAAGATGGGAAGAGGGGGGAAGAGGAAAAAAAGACAAAGCCCAGTGAGAAGGGCAGGAACAGCCTGACGCTTGAAGGAAGTGGGATCTGGATATTCTTTCCCTGCTTTCCTTCCCTCACCTCTATGCAACGCTACTCCATTTTTCCCCATTTAATTTTCCTATCACTGTCGGTTCCTCTCCACTGCTTCAATTCTGACATCACTCCGTCAAGTTAAAAAAAAAGAAGGAAAAAAGCCTAAGGCCGTTCCCACCGAGAGGGGGCCTGCGTGCCGGACCCCGCTTCCCCTGCAGCCCTGTCCGAAGCAGCGAGCAGAGCCGGGCTGGCGCTGCCAACATTCCCRCGCACTGCGGCCCCTGGGAGAGGCCCCTTTCCTGGGATACTGCAGGACTGGGATGTGAGCAGTGCTGCCAGCAGAACGAAGAGCAGCAGAGGCAGCGGCGCTCTGTCCTTTCACCTCCTGCATCACCTCAGGGAGTGTCCCTGCCTGAGCAGGGCTGTTGGCCTAGGTGATCTCTGGAGGTCCCTTCAAGCTCACCCACTCTGTGATGCTGTGCTCTCCTTGCAGCTGGTTCTAACAAGCCTGCAGCACTGGCAGGGCAAGGCACAGGCCCCTTGACAGGGGGAACACGAGCTGCCTTAACCAGAGCAGCCACTGACCAGGCAGGCAGCGCCCAGCTGTGCGCCCATGCTGGGGCCGTCTCTGCACCCATCCTGTCCCGGGCTGCTGGAGACTCCCCTAGCTGCTGTTCCAAGCACCTGATTAATTCCTAAACACCTCTTCCTTAGCTTTGGTTTGCAAGCACCAGCATGCCTGCTCTTCTCCTCTTGGAGAAAAACTGATTGCCATTAAGTAAAGCAGCTAATTGCCTGTAAGGTTGGGTGCCTGCAATGTTGTTTGTACTAAACATTGACAATTAAGCAGCAACTAAGGAAATGGGAGGTAAGTAGAAAACCGACATGTAATCTTCCCACCTCCCAGCAATAAACAAAATATTTCCAGTCAGTTTCTTGCAAAAGTAGCAGCCTTTTATTCAGACCTCTCACTTCTGTGTACCTGTCAGCACTTTTCCASCATTCTTGATCCAATCCTTTTGAAACCTACATACTTTAGAGACAGGCAGATGCTTTCCTTCAGACACTAGCGTAAGTATATTACACTATCAAACTGACCTTTTCCTTTTTAAAAGCAGAACTTGACAACAACCCCGCTGCTAAATGTCAGTACCTAGTCGTAGGATTTGGCAGACAGGCTACCAAGACTGCGTCATGTTCCTGACGCTCTAGACAACCCCAGGGCTCTAAGACAGTTTGGTCGGTTGCCTAGCTGAGGCGCAAACATGGGCTCATTTCAAAAGTCTGGTAAGTCATGACGAATTACATCCTGGAGGTCACATGGCGATTTAAAATGACAGTCGAGATATTATTGAAGGACATTTTTACATATCCTACAGGATGCTCTTAAAGCAAGGACTCTTTCCTTGACACCAAGTTTAATAAAAACAACAAAATCAATAACAACAAAATCAATAATAATAATTTCCACACCTTGTCTAACAAATGTAACTGGCAAGACTAGCATGCTTTTGATATGATCACTGGATAAGCTGTGAAGTTCAAAACCTAAAAGCAACATTATTTTTGCACTATGACTAGACTGTACTGCTGTGCCACATTGAGTTTTGTGGAAATATTCATTTTTGATTCCTTGAATGAGTTCAAGGGTCACAGCAAGGATTYTTTCTCCCCCAACTATGAAGAATTATCCCAGCATTTTCTTAGGTTTTGTCCTGGACTAGAGGTTATCAGATCTGTTATGCAGACTTACTRTTTATTTTACTTTTAGATTAAAGACACAATAAAGCAAAAGATGATCTTATATTTGGAAGATTTCTTTACCCACGTTTAGTAAGTGTCAGACACTATGAAATATTTGGATATTGGGCCGTTCATGAAAATAGAGCTGATACTCACAGCAGCAAAGGTTCCATTCCAGATTCTGGTGGACACATTCACAAAATACTCCCCCTTCAACACAAGGTCTTCCAGGCTGCACGTGATGGTGCTGCACTTGGCATTCTTGCAATTCTTCCAGTAAAAACAGTGAAGAAGTATGCATTAAAAACTACATCCTTAACAAATTTTCCTTTAATAACCAGGTATATTACCCTGGCCTTTGTGTGCATATGAAGYATTTGCAAGTGGTGAACAAGCACTTCTCCTCCCCCCTGTGGCAGATGCAGTGTGTTTGGAAAATTACACAGGCTCCACTCATGTGGAGTTAGTGAAGGCACCATCACCTCCACAGCACGTCCCACGGGCACAGCAATSAGCTCATAGGGATCAGACCTGTGCCCTCGTCCCATTGCACTATGGTGCTCATCCCTACTCACCAGTTCTTTGGAAGCTCTGAAGTTCTCTTTCTTGAAAGATGGAGAATAAGGTCTTTTTCCTATTTGCAGTGGATTTACCTGAGCTTGACACCTGACACCTCTGGTCTATAAAAGATAGCAGGAATTAAATTAGGTAACATCATACACAAGCATTTACAGATCTCATCATAGTAATATATATTTTTGCAATCAGCCATTGACAGTCAGTGCTGACTGATGGGGTCTAGATTGTGAATTATACAATATATTGTATAATATATTGTATATATACAATTGTATATACAATATATACCGGATACTTTTGGAAAATAAGAAAYTGAATGTGTTTTAGGGCAGAATTACAAAATTAAACTGCTCTTATGATAATTTGTTTATCCTAGCATCCTAGGAGAGTTTTGTCCTAATCTAAAAACTTCATTTGTACTATACTGCTCTTCCTAACAACTTGGAAAAGGACCTAGGTGAAGAGTTCCAGGGTCATATGAGAAGTCAGCTATGGACTGGAAAGATACTTCTGCCAATCCTAGAGACAGCAGAGTGTACTGCTGTCTTGATCATCCTCCCCCTTCCCTTTGTGAAACAGAAAGAGAAGGAAGGAAATAGCTGATGTATATGGTGCCTCACAAAACACAGCAGTTTATGCTCTAAGTTCTTCACCTGATCTGTGCTGACTGCAGTTATATACATCAGTGGGTTGTCTTTGCTAGTACGTTCTGGGAGATGGAGTTTTACAGATGCCCTTTTTACTGGAATACTTCCTGTTGTTACCTGGAAAGCAAATAATTCATGATTAATTGAGATAGTTATTCTCACATAAGCAAGAACTGTTTTGGTGAGCAAGAAAATCTTAACTCCAGGATGAATAAGAAAGAATTGGATTCTTTTGCAACAATCTTTTTTGTATTAGTACACTTACTGAAGTAGCAATTACATTATAGCAATACTACAGCAAAAATTACAGTATATTGTTTCAGCTCCCAGCCTATTTCCTTACCAAGCTCTTATTAATTGCATGAAACACTTTTTTGAAAACCAAATATTCTGTCATAGCCAAAAAGCCTATTATTTAGTCATTTAGCATACCATCTACATCAAATTTAAAAGGGGCCTAATTAAAATCCTCCTCCTCCCCCTTCCCCCTATTGTTTTGGAACCAACATTTTTATGGGTTATATAATAAAGGCTGCATTCAGCCTAGTTCTTCCCTCTAGTTTGAGCATTCAACTCTTAGCCAAACTTCAAATTTCAAAGGCTAAGCCTGAGAAGATTTATTTTTATATATCAAGTTAGCAGAAGACAAATACACACTGTGTTTAGCTGGCCTCAAGTTAAGCATTAACCACGCCATAAAGATATAACCAGTGCARGGCCAATCCCTCCCCAACCCCACTCACGGGCAGGAAGTACAAATTTCATCCTTAAGCTCGTAAAGGCTGTGAGTGTCTATTCCTGAGCTGCTCAGCTGTTTGGCTCCCTCATAAAGCATCAGAAAAAGACAGTGAAATCCGGATGTTTTTTTTAATTGCTTTTGCTACCAGGAGGAGGTAATGCAGCTTCTCAAACTCAAACCAGAAACTTCTACTGACCTTAACTGAAAAGTTGAACGCGGGGCCAATTTCTCCAAAATTATTCACAGTGGAAGGAATGCTACGATCAGAGTACACTTCATAGAAGTTGATGTTGGCAAGCCTAGTTAACAACCGTAAAACAACACATTTCAGCTTGGCAGCTGCTGAGAAAACATATGCAACTGGATACATTTTGCTTTGCTATAAGGYGCTTATAAACAGAGGTCAGAAACACAATCAACAGGAAAAAAATCACTTGTAAAGCTTTCTGAGTTTTATATAGCTGGTTAAGAAGCACGGTGCACGGGCTGGGGCTCGGCGCRGCCTCCTGCTCCGCTCCGTGCCTCGGGATGGTACTGCAGGCTGCTGGCTCTGCTCTCCTCCCCACCAAGAGCTGTGGGGCAACCCTGGGCATAAGGAMTGGCTAGTTCCTGCGGTGCGTGGGTGCTGAAACACACACGGCAGCCTGGCTGGGTGCGTGGTGCACAGCACGTGGCCCCCTCTGTCCTCTAGGCTGCTTTGTGTCTTGTTGATGCTTTCTTCTGCTCACAATTTCCTAAGTAATGTGAAGGCTGTTGCAAGCCACCATGGCATGCAGCTGAGGGTGCATAGTGGAAGGATGCAGCAGGAGGGTCTGTGGATGCTGGCGGRGGCACAGCCAGCAGGACATTGCTCAGACACAACACGAGTGCCTGTGTGCACAGCACATCCATATTGCTTCTTGTGAGCGGCTCCTGGGGTGCCAGCCCGAAACTGCTTCTGCTTKTTATCCTAGGCTAATTTAAGCAGCCAAAAAAACAAACTGGGGAGCAAGTGAATGAGGAGCGTGGACAGYCACGACTCCAGTACATTAGGGCTTCTGGTAGCACAAAGCACAAATCCCTCTTMTTTATCCCTCCCCGCTTAATCCGGGCAACATCCAYGYATACCACTGCAAGTCAACACATTCYCTCTTGCAGCGCTATTCCTGATCAATCCATATTCCTCTACACTGCATCTGGGATCCTTTTCAGTTCTCCATGTTTTCTCCCATGGGAAAAGACAGAAAGGGCCTCCTTACGAGAACTCCCAGAAGAGCTATTTGAAACACTTTTCACTGCTCAAATTTCCAGTCCTACCTGGATGCATCACCAGCTTCCTTGTCCCTGCAGAAGTCATCGACAAAACTGACTCCCAACTTTTCWCCTGGGAACTTACACTGGAAGAGTCTCTTTTTAGGGAGACTCTTCCTTTAGGATGAAAACATAGTTTATCTTTTATCTTTATCATTTATCTTTTAAAAAGTTGCCTTTTGGCTAAATTATCAGCCTCAAGAAGGAACCATGAGAAGGTGAGTTCTTTATCTTCCAAAAGATATTTCCTAAGTGGAGGACAAGGCCAAGCAAAAATGATCCTAGATAACCATTTTCAATTGTACTTTGGCTTACTATGTATTCCCCTTAGTTCTTTTAAACTGAGTCAATTCCAGAATCCAGGTCCTTTTGTGACTGAAGTGGTTCCTTCAGGCCTTGTGTACGAAATTCCATTTTCTTGTACTGCAGGAGATGCATCTGAATTCTAAATGTTGTTTTCCTTTGAGTAACTCTTTTACAGACTCCCTGTCTGGCCTTTTCTGAAGCAGCGAGCTTATATTGGCATTTCTTAGCTAATTAGATTTCCAGATTCAAATATGCATCATCTAGTTTTCCTAGGAGGCTGCTGTGACAGCTGCCATCTAGAAACCTCTGTATCTCTACTAACCTTAAGTTACTACAGTGTCACTGCTAACTTARGTAACAAACAGAACTACTTCTAAACCTCATGCAACTTTCTCAGTGAATTGAAAGAACTTGTGTTGCTGACCCAAATATATACTTGTCCAACTGAAAGAATCTGAAAAATGTTAAAGCACTCCAAAATTGGTGCACCTGGGCGATGTGAATCCAGGGCCTCAGAATATTTTGGAACAGCTGCTGCAAAGCAGGTTATTGAACTCAGCATCAAGACTGGGGTCCACATTCCAATGCAGGTCACTGCATACAGCCTAAAGTTTCCTGTGGTTATGCTAGCCTTTGAATATTCATTTCCCAAACTCGTTCATTTTTAAGAAGCTTCTTCTTTTTACCTCCAACAATTATGCTTCCATTTCTGTTAATCTTTGAATAATTGCTGTTTATCTTCTACCAGTTTCGATTTATAAATTTTGGAATGCTTTGGCATTTCTTCACCAACAGTTGGTGACCAAGTGCATGAAATCTAACTACATATTGTTTATCCCAGAAATTCAGCAATYTGGAAGGATAAACAAATCTTTTCTTTGATTAAACTGAAAACACCATATGTTATTTGAGAGTCAAACCAGTGTATTTTTGTTTCAGTTCTAATTTAGCTAAACTGAAATTACTCRTTTGGAATAGTAACAGACTGATTACTCCTCCAATACATCCCAAGTGACTGGGAAAGTTCAAGGGCTGAAGAGATTTCCAGGGCATGAAATGCAGGTCAGTCTGATAGGGATTTCTGTCCGTCTCTTCCCTCCCTGTCTCCTTACAAAATGCCCCTCTTGGGCATAATGGACCTCTTGGGCAACAAGTTAGTCAAAACATGCAAGGCGTTGAGAAAAGGATGATGCCAGAAGGCAAACGAATAAGTGAGAACCAGAGGTTGAAGGAAGAGTGAGAAAGTTTGTTCTTTTTAGCTYAACTTAGCTTCAGATTTGATTTAAATTCAGTACATTTTGGCCTAGAGACCCATTTATAACATATATTAATAAAGTATATATTAATTATATTATTAAAACCACAATTAATGGTTTTTGTTGTTGTTGTAGCCTACATTCAGGTCAGCAGTTGATCCCCTGTAGCAATTATACATGTGGATCAATAATTGCTTCATACACATTTTATTATTCTTTACAGGTAAGAAGAAATGTATTGGAAGAGCATAAGTTTCTCCTGGTGCTGATGAAAAGGGAATTTCTTATGACAATTAAAAAAAAAGCCAGTCAATCAAACAAACAAACAAAAAGGCATTATTTTTCAGAGGCTGTTCAGATTTTTCAGAGGCTCTAACTATATTTAAATACCTTATAAAAATGTCTTTTTCATTATTTAGCATACCTTGTGAAGTGGATTTCTGCATCATACCGCAATGGAATTGATAAATGGACCTCGTTGTCCAAGTCTTGTTCTTCCTTACTTTCACTGTTCATCAAAACATATTTAATTTTTAACATATGTTAAAAATCATTCGATATAAATTACAACATTAATAACCAATTTGCTTTCATATAGTAACATAGGTTACCTTAATGCACGAAAACTGAGAGTTGCCACATTCTGAAGATTTTTCAGGTTAAAATCAAAACTAATATCAAAAGAAACCTACAGAAGAAAGACAGGGAATAAACAATAAGTGAGTTTTAGAACATGCAAAGTACTTACAAATAGAAACATAATTATATGTGCAAACACCKGGAAATTTCCTGCAAAACTGAATTCTCTACTCATTTCTGTGTACTATTACAATAATCTCTATTACTACAGAGTTGTTTTGTTCTCACTTTTACCTGCAAATTAGCAGATACATAAACATTAACTATTTTAAGTGTGAAACCATCTGCAAGCTGCAACAAAAGGTGTTCAGGGTGCTTTGAACTATCTRCTTTTAAACACTAACATTGACACATGCTTTGTTTTCATTCTTGTATTCATTCCAACAGGTCCACTTTCACCAGTGACATTAAAATTATCTAATTAGAACAAACTAACGTTTCATATCTAATTAGGTGTTTTGGTTTTGCTTTCTTTTCCTCTGCAGAACATCATCTTTTTGTTACTTTTTGGCAAGTTTCTTATTGCTCCAGTTGATTAGGTTAGAGGCTGGAAGTCTGTTTCTGTTCTGCCCAAGAGGAATAAGAGATTAAGTTCCCTAAGACCATGGATATCATGAGATTTATGCTGTATATGACAAAAAGGATATACGATCCATGCTAGGGCTGTGCGGGCCACCCCTGTCCTCTCAGGACAGGTGTATTTCCTTGCAGCAATTACATTCACAGAGCAGGAAAGGGACAGAGCTCCAGGCTCAGTGAGCAGTAGGAGCTTGACTGCATTTCAGTTCAGGTCCCTGGAGAGTGTTTTTCATAAGCATTTTCCCCTTATTCTGGTAAAGATCACTAAAGTTCATCCCTTAGTTCGGTTCTTTTAATGTCTCTGAAAACCAAAGGGAATTCAACCACAGCTAAATCTAAGAAATCCTCACCAGCAGTGAACGCAGGTGGTGGTGTGGGAGGTAGAATATAAAGCTTATTTAGACATGCTAGCTGTACCTGTTGTCCTGTTCGGAAAACAGGATAACTGATTTGGCAAATTACTGTAGATTGAGCTGTGCCGGTTTGACAGGAGACTTCAGTCCCATCGCTCTGCAAAAGACAGATGGAAAAGTCATTTTAATATCAGTTTTTGATAAAACAGATAGGAAATCCCCAGGTTTGTATCTTCAACAGGGCATCTATTACATTAAGGAGCAGCCCAAGCAGGGGTAGATTGCAACTCCTGGACGTGCACCCAGTGGGGCTTCAGAGAGACTAGCGAGAGGTGGGAAAGGCCCAATGCTGTGCAGTTTCTTGTGGGCTGTCATGGCCTTGTGAGATAGTTTGTTGGACAGTCAGCATCACAGATCACRTTGCATTAATTGGTACAGTTTTTCCTTACAGCACTTTTATAGAACTCRTGCTTTTTATAAAATTTGACTGAAAGTTAAGTACTCTCAGAGTACTTAGAGTACTTAAAGTACTTTACAGTACTCCAAGAATACTTAGAGACTCAGCTAAGTACCATAGAAGTTAATGTGCAATTAATGTACCTTTGTAGGAAAAAATTACAGTGCATAGGAGCTTATATACCACTTTACAGAAGATTTAACATGTCATCATCTCATACCAAAGGAAAGAAAACCTCAAAGGCTATAAGCAGTTATCATCACACTGAAAAGAATTTGTTAGAACATACTGTCTTTTGACAAAATACATCCCCATACATTCATGAATTATGTCTCCTCCCTGACACATACATTCTCAGATAATTCCTTTTTTTCTGCATTGAAGCAGGCACATCTGGGGGCAAAAGCTTCACTTGCAGGCTTCTAAGTGAGAGAGCTTTTAAAGCAGAGGAAAATCCTAGCTCCAGTGTGGTCTTTTGGCATGAATGGAATGAATAATTCTGCTGTGCAACAGGAAGGGGAGGTAGAGGGGCACCCTCAGTGTTGTGCAGAGCACTTCTGCCAGCTCATTGTTAAGAAAATACTGCTCTTGGGTGGTGATGAATGCTCCCATTCCCTCTCCCTTCAATATGGGGATTGCTCTGGATTTCACCCTTAGTACTATCRTGCACCTCTCCAGTAGCGGCCTGACAAAATAGGCCAAACACTGATGTCTGGATTTCATCCTACATCAATTATCCAGGAGCAACAGTTCAGATTAAAGATTTACTGCACTCCCCAAAATAGTCTGCAAAATGCCTTTCTTTTCCTTTTCTAAGATAAAATTCATTAGAAGTCTAGCTTCTGGTAGAGCGATATAAGAAATCACTTCAACCTGATTAACCGTCCAGTTGGAATACATGGCCTTGGCCATAACACTGCTTCTAGATCCAAAGTCTGTGCTTTAAAGCTTTATCCGTGCTGCATGCGTGATTTATCATATATGAATCCCCTCTGGCACAGCAACTGCGTTCAGATGTTGGGAGTCAAGCAGACGACATGGATGCCAAATTCTAAAGCAAGGAAAAGATGACTGAAATACTGAGGTGAGGTCAAGCTCAATGGATGGCCAGCTTTACGCTGAGTTGGCAGTCTCTCTCCTTGACCTAAATAAACTGATATACTGAAGGGAATAATTTTGGTATTTGAAGAAATAAGTTGGGAGAGGTGTGTATACATTCCCTCCTTTTCAGGCATAGGCCCTACTAGAAAGTGAAAAAAAAACATTTTCTCTAAGAAACCGGAAAAGCAGTGGCAATAACACAAACAATTAGGGCGGGTATCTCTACATACTGGTAAAGAAGATGAAGCAAAAAACAAGTTGTCCGAAAAGGTAGCCTGGATTCTGGTGTTGTATGCATTTTCCTTTTTATTTCTCAGTTTCACGTTGAATGTCAGCCTTCTGTTTTTGCTGCTGACAATAAACTGCTGTTTGCTGTTAGAAAATAAAGTTCAGTGTTGTAAACAGAAGTACTAGAACAGTTGTGGAACATGAAATGTATGATTATTTGATTGACTGTAGCCAGCAACAAATGACAAGCAAAGCACGCTCTGTTTTGTAAATTCTATGCACCTAGATTCTCTATTGTCAGAGAGTTTAGACATAAGAAACTCTGTGATTGTGTTTCTTAAAGTTGAAGGGAACGCATGTTTTCTTAAAATGAAGGCTCTTAATTATGTACCATTAAAATAATAGCATTGAATTTACAAAGGTTCCACCACAGCAGAAACATTGGCATAGCATGGGCAGCTACTTAAGATGACATCTCCAGGAAAAGCAGCTGTATTGCTGCAAATGCAGACATATATTTGTGTACTGATCGGGAAGATGTGCGGCCCAAGCAGCTGATCTCTGCTCTGGAGAGGCACAGGCCTTTGTGAGCATCCCCACTGCTCCCTGAGAGGGACGAAAACGGCCACTGCAGGGGCTGCTGCTTCTCCCAGGACTCTCCCCTTCACAACAGCAGCCAGACAGACATTACAGCTCCGAATGATTACCGTGCCTTCATCCCTAAGGGACCGAAATCGGAATTTGTCTACGTTGATGAAAATCCTGTGCTTATACACAGGATCGTCAATAAACTTGTACTCCTGACATTCCACTTTTTACCTGATTATAACATAAATACCCTTTCTATTCCCGTTCCCCACTCCGACCAGCTAATTTGAAGTAGGCATTGAAATGGAAAGTCATGTTCAACCAGAAATTCATCCAGAGTCTACAGACAAACCAACTTTTGAAAACTAACCGAATGCCAACCCCAACAATTCCCTTTATTCATCTTACCTGTCATCCGTCTTCTGCTGAACTTTAAGGATAAGATCACAGATACAAAGTTCATCTTCACCACAGTCTTTAATAAAAGGAATCTATGACAAACAAAAATATTTCCTGAATAATAGGGCTCAATCTTAAGACACCACAGTCTGTAGATAATTTTAAACTAAGTAGCATGTTACTATGTCAGATGATCTAGACGGGTGTTCTTAATCATGACAAAGATGATGTAGTTGAAGGAACTACCTCGCTTTTATCGACTCATTTACTGTAGGTTAAATTAACTCTAATTCCTTCATCTTTGCCATCAAACAGCAGTTCCCATGAACAGTTGCTTGATCTCAACAAACATGCTTTTTATGCCGTTCTACCTGATGGATGTGACTGAGTATATGTGTATGAGCAAGCCACGCAATACAGACAGAAGCATAAACGGAACAGGGAAACACTCTCAGGCATGTGTTTCATGTGCTTYTTTGGTGCTTGTGAGGTGCTACACATTACATATCTGTGTATAGCCATTTGCTTTTCAAAAGGAAGACTATATACTTACACTATAGGCCACAGATGCAGGAGAATATATATCAAGAACAGGACTAGAGCCAGGATTTGCAAGACCAATGTCAATGCGCATATTGAGCGAATTTACTGCATCAGAAGGTTCCTGTAAAACATGTGTTCAGATGACAGCTGGCAGCATWGCAAAGTGTAGCTTCAGTAATTCTATTGTAAATTGATGATATATAGCAAAATAATGTTTAATGTACTGTAAATAAGACAGAACAACTAATAGGAGACAAGTCTTGTAAGATTACCTATTTTGACAATGCTAATCTGTTTTTAGTGTCAGTTTCCCCCCCCCCCCAAATATTCTTAGAAATGCTTAGAAATGGATACATCACAATTACTTCTAACCCTAGGAAACATACAGATTCTCTGAGACTACAGAAGCTAGTCCTCAGAACTAACCATCAGGTCACTTCCATTCTCACCTGGTTGCATAAGTCAAATTTTCATTCCGTTCTGCATTACTATCACAGACGGTAGCTAGGCCTCTGAACAACACTAAAAACGAATATGTTTCATGTCTCCTCTCTTTCTTTGCACCATTTGAATTCTCTTCTAGTCCTATAGTTCATGGCTCCATAACAACACAAAATGTAATCAACTAGTTCAAGACATAGTKATACTGATACTATTGATACTGATACTATTCAGGAATGCAGTAGAGAGAGAAAAAAAAGATATTTAAAAGGGAGAGAAGTAAAAATGTACCTGTTTATTAATTTGCCTGATTTGTAAAATTTGGAAAGCAAAGCAGGAACTAACTGCAAGACTCTGTAATTACCGAATATAGCCTCATGGACAGGGCTGACAGTTCTCTGGGCTGCATTTGGTTTCTGGTTCTGGGGAAGAATGGAGTTCTGATTCTTTTCATTTTTATTTTTTCCAAACACTACCTGTACTGACCATAGGCTACTATGAAGTCAGCAGAAGTATCAAATTTTCAGTCTGAGATGAAATTTTGCATGAAATGTTTAGTTCCTAAGGAAGAGCCTACTCAGAGTAAAATTAAAAACTACTGAAACTGTGGTCTCTGTGTTAGGGCAGACCTGAAGCATGCAATTACAGTGGCCTCTCCATCCTTGAAAAAAAAGGAAAGTCTGTCCTGTGCTGAATAGGAAAAGGTCTTATTACTTTCTTGGACATCAGAATCTCATTCTGCATTTTTCAGTTGCGGAGAATTTGAGAGAAGTAAATCACTGAGAACACCATGCACGAAATACTTCTTCCACATGTTCAACTTGTTCTTCTGATCTCTTCTACCAAATGAAGCTGTTTGCAACTGCACTTACCTGTACACTGAAGATGTCATGAACACAGTTCTCCTCATGACGCACCACAAGATCCCTCTGCATGTACCGTTCATTATTTTCCTTGAATAATCCTCTAGAAGTCACTCTAGAGGAGTGGAGATCAGCATCCAGTGTTGCATTGTATCTTATAGCTACAAGAAGAACAACAGTATTTCTTACTGGAGTCTGACTGCCAGTGGTCTCACTACTGCAYTCTTCTACATTATAGAACAGCCAAACTTTCCAAACCACCCTCAGTATTTTACTTTTTCTGTAACTCACTTAACACAGAACATTCTCAAAATGATAAAGTTTTCTCTTGCGTTTTCCAAAGCAGTTAAACAGGTTTAAATCTTGAAATAAGTTCTCATCCACAGAGAGCACATTAAATGGCAATCAATCCAGCCTGCACTGCAGATGTCTGAGCCTGTAACTTGGGCAAGGAGCCAGTCAGCAGGGCCAGGATTATACTAGATAAAGAGGCCTTACAACCACATCCCTGAATTCTAAGGAGACTATAAAGAATCTGCATCTTCTCTTCAATCACATAATAATTCCTGTCTTCTCTTCATATTATGACTAATACACTGTGGAAATTCATTGTTATTTTACAGCTAACATTTCTGAGTTCCTAAAGGCACCGTATATTGCAYTGAAGCAGTCCAGTGTTACCAAAGCTGTGTACATTTAACTCAATAGCTTCATGAGTGGCCAATGTTAGTCTCAGAAATATTTGGTGCTTTTGTGTCCTCCAAAAAAAAAGCACTTCTCCCCAGTGACATCTGCAGTGAGTTTATGGAAACTCTTTTTTTTTTATTGTTGAAAAGTGTGCAGTCTGCTGTTGTTGAATCCAGCAGTTCACAAAGGCTCTCTCCCCAGGAGTGGCATCTTCCAGGGATATCCAGTTACCCTTCCTAAAATTTCTTGGGGTATCAGCCAAAAAACAAGACTATAGAATTCGGTGAGCAGAAGATGAAGAAAAATTAGTTTCTCACTAGCGATATTTCCTGGGGTTTGCTGGAGAGTGAGGATATAGTGCTCCTGAATGTTATTAATCCCTCAATTTTCTAAGATTAATGAGATAGTGATGACAGTGAGTTACACTGATGAAGTCAAGTCTGAAGTATTTCCTCAAGCATTTAGATTTTATACTGATTACTCCTATTCTTGATATTCAATTCAGTATCAGAATTTCTGCTACCTATTTGAATAATGGGTTTTTGAAGAAATTAATACAAAACATGCCATTGAAATAATCTTACCCACTTGATTATTTCTCTTAGCAGGTCTAAATGTAGCCTCAAAACATATTTTGACGGTTATTTCTGTGTTCTTGTTCAGCAGACTGATTTTCTCAGGTTTAAAGGAGGCAATTATGGACACATTTGCAATGCTCTGTGACCTGAAAAATAGTTTTAAAAAACTATGTGTGATTTTTAAAAGGACCAGCTAACTTAAAAATGGTTTTCTAAGGTATATTTCTAAATGCAGCATTAATATGGCTCCCCACGTAGACAATTCTAATGCTACTGATTGATGKTTTTTCCTTTACATGTAACTGCATTTGTTATATGATAGCTTTCAATATTGACAACAAATCATTTATCATKTCAAATCAATAGATAATCAGTAACTTCTATTTTAATGTCCTAATCCTTTTGTTATGATAACAGGAAATAAAACTGTTGCCTTTTCCCCCTCCAACAAATAACCTTCTTAAGCTCATTCAGGGAAGTCATTGAGTTTCTCTGGAAAAGTGAAGAAAAGTTATTCTTCATTTTTAATTGATACTGTACTTTTTCAGAAAAACAACTTCCATGTAATTAATCAAGATTTAGAAGAATAGTTGCAAAGGAGCCCTGCATGTAAACACAAACACTTCAATCAAAAGTGAAACCCATTAATCAGATCAAGTGCTGGAGYGAAAGTGAAAAACGAGCATCCTCATTAATCAAGTACACATAAATGCTGGAATTCTAAGCAGCATCATTTTCCTTAATGCAATTACCACGAGCACCTGCAGGAGTTCTGCTGCGGGCCAAAGGTCCAAACTGTCCATTCATTTTTAATAACCTTGTTTTATTAAATAAAGTAGCAATTTAGTGATGTTTTTCTTGTTACAATGGGAGCCTCGGGTGAGAATAAGGGTGACAGATAGGAAAGCAAGCTGTGTTTTAATTTAGCTCCACATGGAAGTAGTGGAAAATACACAGCTCGGGGAGCACAGGTCTTAGGTTTTGAGAAGCCTTTCTTCCTTCGTTTGTGAAACTACTCAAATTGCTCTGGCAAAAACGCAAACCCACATGCCAGAAAAGATGTTTCCTGCCAGGGACGGGTGCCAGCTCTTTCACTGCTCCGTGACCTTACCCTGCAGGACAAGTCGCCCATACAGTTGCATGTGTCAGCTAGCAAAGGTCACGCAGGCGGTGGGAGAAGTGTTTGCACTGTCAGTGCTGCACACAGCAGACCCGGCCCGCAGAGTTATAGCTTGGCTGTTACAGGACCAGCTGTGACAAGTAGTCCTGGGCAAGCAACGCTGCCCGCAGCAGCCTCACGTGCCTGTGTGGTGGCCACCAGCAGCTTCTCCTGGCCCTCCCCTGCCCGCTGGATCTCACGCTGGCACTGCCACCACCACCACCTAGCTTCACCCCACGCTCTCCCATTCCCATGCCAAAAGGGGCTCTCTGGGGCTTGACAAAACATGCTTAAAAGCAGTTTAGCCCAACACTGTTTTTCAATCAGCTACAATAATAGCAATTAGACAATAACTGTTRGCCCTGAACACACAGATGGGAAAGAGCTGTTTGGTTTGTTTGTTTTGCTGTTTAATTAACTAAATGCATCTGAAACATGAAGTGCTGCCTTTCCAAAAGGGTGTACTAACCAAAGTAGAACCACATTTCCTTCAGCACCAACTGAGACATCAGTAATGCCATCGTCATCTAAGTCTCTATGGCCATCTACTGATCTTCCAAAGAACTGGAGCCGTTGTCCAAAGGCAGAATCCGATCCTAAAATTTTCTGTAAAAGAGAGTTTGATTACTGAGCAGACACAAGAGTGCTTGAGCTTTTAGACAGCAGCTCAACCAATCGATTTTTGCATATATTTTCTGTATATGGAATGTACTGTTCAAGCAAAATACTTTTGCAGATGTTTTCTCAATTTTTAAGCAGTTTATTACTATTACATGTAATACTGTATATTTATAATTTACAGAGCTGATTTTTATTTAATCTTCTTTGTTGTGCAACAGCCCTAAAAATARCAGCTTGTTTAAAATATGCAGGAAATTAGTTCACTTCATACACAGGTACCAAAAAAATATATAAACAGGCTCAGATGAAGCATCCGGCAAGTCATTTTTCTCTGTACACTTCAAATGTAAGAACCATAACATCATTCAGGATATCCTGGCAGCTGAAGTAAAGAGAARGGCAAAATGTGAAATTAGTCATGAGAAGAACCATATTCTTTTAAGAGAATGAAATAGTAGCCGATAAGAACGCAGCAAATCCTTCAGTTTTCCTCTAGCAGATCTGAAGGCACTGAGCACAGCATTAGGCAAGTTATTTACCTGAGAATATTTGGTACGTATAGTCTTTTGGTATCCATTGTAAATATAAATTGCTCCAGAGTTTTGGCTTTCCAGCGGCGCGCCTATTACAACATCATTAAAGCCATCTAAATCAATGTCTGCAAGTGTTGTGATCGCTGATCCAAAGCGAGAATTCTCCAACCCTTGTGGGCCTTCCAAGAGTTCTTGTTGATCCAAAATTCCCTTTGGGAAAGAAAAATAAAGAAAAAGAAAAAAAATACAACTGTCACTGCAGAAAAATAGGCATAGGAACAGTATCTCTGTGCATTGTTTTTTTTTTTTTTTTTTTTTTYCCCTAACGCGTTCCCCTTGGACTCTCAGCCCCAAATTCCTTCCCCATTGTATTGCCCATTCAGTTTGCATTATATCTCAGAATCTTGGCAGATATTGCACACCAAAATTAAAGCATGCTATGCAAAGCTGCAGTAACAGCAAATATAACCATATGTATGAAGCTTAAATGCTCTCACTGTCCTCATCTGACTGTTCTGAAAATTTCACAATACATTGAAAAATACAGTTTCCAGTTTTGGATTACCAGTTTTTATGCAGAGGGAATGGAAATTATGTAACTGGACATAATTCTTTGAAATAGAAATGGAATTTCCTAACTGAACTAATGCAAAAAACATGTGTCCAAACGTTAAACTCCTGACCTCTCTAGTGCCAATGAGGAAAGAAAGGTTGGAGAACTGTAGAGTTAAATAGTCACATTTACTTTAGCCTAAATTCAGCAAATACCTTTCTCATCCTTAACTTCACTCATCACACTACTTAATTTTAGAAATATTAGCCAAACTATTTATTCAAAATGAGTTGAAAAAAAATTTGCCCAACATGGCAAGTTACACAAATATATATTAAATAATAATAATAATTTAAAAATCCTTATTTTTAACATTTCATTTTAAATAATTTTAAATCTACATTTAACAAAAACTACCCTTATAAGGATAGTCTTCTTGTTCAGTTTCCAAAATGGGGAAAGAATCCTTCCATTTTTCTTTTCTTCCCTATTTTGTGCCCAATGACACAGTCACAATGACGGATATCTGTTGCCAATAGTTCAGCTTCCAGTACTTCTCTCTACCCTGAATTTCTCCAAATTGCCCAGTTTCACATAGTTTGAGGATAATCTAGCACTGCACTGCTACTGAAAAAGGTGGTSCTTCCTCTCTACTTATTTCTTTGCAGTTACCTAGTAGAATATGCCATGTTCTGTTTTTCCTGATTAACTTCAAGTGTTAATTTACTTCACTTATTCAGATATGCATGATTGTTTGTGAGGCTGTTTAAAGCTGCCATCACATTAATACAAATATTATGAAAATCTGCTCACCAGGTCTGAATAAAACAGTCATGCATCAGATAAAATAACATGGCCTTGCTGACAACAGCAGCAATGTGAGTAAAAGCAACCATTTAGTGTGAAAGTCTGCTAGCAGAAAAGCACTCATTAGTACTGTTTCCAGAATACTCCTAGGTGCTGAACAGATTTGCCAAAAACAATTGGCAAACAATCGATTAGCTTAAGCTAAGCTTTTCAGAGAAGTGGTCAGGACTGTGTTTTATTTGTACATAGCGTATATCACAATGCCTAAACTCTAACCACTGAACGTTTAGTTATGTCTATCTTGCTAAATAAAAGGGAGCTAGACCAGCAGACTGGTCTGATCACTAATATTGCTTAGCTACCAGCTTGGATAGTGGCTTCATTCTGGACTGCTCCAGCTGGCTTATTCCTGCATTATACACACAAGTGTTTCTGGGGAGAAGCCACTTGCTTCTAGGAAGAAGGGAGGAGACTGCACTAGGAAGATCTCTGTGGACTGGGAAGAGTCCACAGGCCTCTATCCCTTTGTAGACTTTGCACCATTTTCCCCTAAGATCCATCCCTAGGCAAAGTGCACACTTCATTTCTCAATATAAAAACACCATTCACTCTTTAAGCACTTCAAACCAGAAAAAAATAAAAATAAAAAGTGGTCTTAGGGTCACAGGCCCATCACTGGGGTCCAGGAGAGATCTGGGGCCAAAGTCGGTGCTATAGATGTGGTCAGTCTGTTTTGGAAGACAGACATCATTCTCTGCTCTTCTGATTTAAGAGAACAGACAAGGCTGGTAAACACTATTGAGGTTTGACCTGCTTCTTCCCTGGCAAGACTTCAGTCCAGGGGACACCAGCAAACCCCTTCAGCTGCTAAGGAAAATACCTAGACTTGTACCCGATCCCAGCATCACAGTAGTTTCATTCCTACCTTTGTTATGGAAAACATGTACACTCTTCCTTCCTCTTTCTTCAGGTCATTCATAAACATTGGTGCACCTACGAGCAGCACATCTGTAACAGAATCTCTGTTAATGTCCACTGAACACACCACACTGCCAAAGTAGGAGCCAATCTGAAATCAATAATAAGAGAGTCATGTTTGCATATGGACTTTGTAAAGCAAAATGTTTTAGCATCTCACCCTGCAAATTCTTACACTCAGAAAGAGTCAAACAYCAATAAATGAAAGTGCTCATTGGAATTAAATTGTCATATAATATCCTAAAGCATCTGAAGATGCTCATCCATCCACTCTTTTCACCCAGTAACTACTGCTATAGTTTTACCACTAAGCAAGAAGTATGTAAACAGAGAATAAGAAATGCAAGACATACTTTTTTAAAAATTGAATTGTACACATAAAACTACCTGGCTTCTGATTTACTCTCAGATTTGTCTGATTGAAACAAAACAAAAAACATAACCTTCTAGACTTTTATCCCATTCTCAAATGTGGAAAATAAGAAGAGATTCCAAATCTTGCTTTTACTGTCATCTACTTCACAACTTCCTGGGCAGGGTGGAGGTCACTGAGCCTCTACTAAACAGAATCGTTGACAGAATAACACATTAAGTGGCCTATTACTTTATCTTTGACACTAAATGAATAATTCCATTAAAAACCCATTTAAGAGCTAGTTAACCTCAATGTAACAGTTTTGTCAGAGAAAGTGCACATAGGATTCTACAAACTTTGCAAGAAATACGAGTTTTCAGAACAAATGGATTGCTATTTACTCCTGTCCTGAGCAATGTGATCTTGAACAGAATGTACTTGCCTGCTCGCCTCTCTGGGACTGCACAATGGTGATATTACCACGGCTGTCAACATCATAAACCACAACTCTGCCAGTGTAGTTGGATCTTGGTGCACCAGCGACAAAATAGACAGAGTTTTGAGTTGAGAGAACAGCAACAGAATAACCTAGGGGAAGAAGCCAACATACAACACGTGTGAGAGAATTAGCTACAAGTTGTCCATTTGTTATCCACAAAAACTGAAAAGATTAATCAACCTGGCATATTAGTGGCAGGGGATAATACTTCTATGGCCTAGCTGAGTAGCCACACATACTTCCTCTTTCCAGAGAGAGGACTAATGCAGAGATCGAGTTGAAGCAGGTTCACAGAATAGCACGGACAACAGTCTAGCCTATTGAGTACACAGCACACCACAAAAATGTCATGCTTGTGAAGGAGACAGGAAAAAGACTGCAAAGAGTAGCCTTGGAATGAAGAAGCAAAGAGAAACACAAGACCAGCTTTTGAGCCAGTCTTCRTATCCGAGAGGAACACCTGACTTCTACAAAGCCCTCGGTGCATTTTCCCACAGCACACAAAACCACAGCCCAGCTCTCCGGCTGAATACAATTGGCCATATTAAAAGCTTGTCAGCTGAAGGGCTTATATTGATTGAGCTTCTTTGAACATTTTAATCCTCATCCTCCGTATTATAACATTATTTGCTTTCAAGCAGCATCATTTAATATCTGCAAATATTTTAAACATGAGTTAGCACTCTAAAGCTAGTATTACTACATATTTTACATTTCTGTGGTTTTAGCACAGTTCGTTTATTTTAACAGAAGAAACAAATCCTTTCTAAATCCTACAGTTAAACTGAAGAACCACATCCCAGTAAACGGGCAGAACATACACATCTTTAGGCAGGCTGCCATACAAAGTGAAGAGTACAGTCTAAAAGGATTAAGCTTTGGTGATTACAAATACACGTCTAACTCTGCGCAGTCACTATGCTTTTCTAGGGACAGACCAACTATACTGACTAGAAGATTAAAAATTAACAATTGCATGGAATTTTTTTTCTGGAGACTAAGCAAACGAGGCCTCCAGTCCCTCAACCAAGAAGGTATAAAGCACTACAAGTTAAAGGGTCCGGAGATGAATTGGGTCCACACTAGCAAGCTGGGCAGAACATTTTAGCTTGGGCTCGCCACTCATACGGAGAGCTTGTGAATGAGCCAGAGGAAAAGGAAGAGAAATGAAGACATAGCAAGAGTGCCCTGAGCAGTGAGAAAAGGCAATGACATTTTTCGCACCCAAAAGATCAGGGACAAAATTCTAGAAAGTTCCTGGTGGAGAAGTATTGATAGGAAATGACTGAACATTGTAAGAGTTATTCTTGAAATGGGAAGAACAAAAATTCAAAAGTATTAYGCAAGCAAAAGAACTAGAGCCAGTTAAACTGGGTTTATTTTTACTTTGTGTCAGGTAGAAGTACTACAATAAGGGTACACATGAATGGGAAAATATATCATTAAAAAACTTCAGGGATAAGAAAGCCAAAGTTGCTTAATGTACTTGTGCTACTCGAATGAACTGCCAGGACAAGCAGGTTGTACTTTTACAGAGATTTCACGCTATGTGGCAGATAAATGAATTGAGAAGACAAGCTGTCTTGCTTTATGGGGTCACAAAAAGCATATGTTGGAAAACAAATGAGGATTACAAATAAGACTTAAGTTAAACTGCAGCAGTATTCCTAAAATGATAAATTGAACTGGAAAAGGTAAAGAAAAGAGAGAGTACAGATGAAACTGTGATACCCAATCAATCAATTTTTGATCTGCATGTAATTAGAGAAGTAAATAAGGAGTATGAAAATTAAAGGTACACAATATAATCAACATGATGGAGTAAGCAGTCTTTCTTATGTCTTTGTCATAAGGCCCCTTTTTCTTTTTTTTTTTTGTGCTTTTGCACTTTGGTACTAGTAGAATAAAAAAAAAAAGTTACATTTAGTGATCAATTGACCAGTATATAAAATGTTTTCAGATGCAAAATTCTTGTTTTCCCAAATCTGCTCTTAACTGGAATCTGTCCATAACAGCATTTTTTACTATCTGGAGAAATATCTGATACCTTTCAAGATTTATATTTCAGCTCTTTACCTAGATATGAGCTATGATTTCTGTCCTGTAGAATCTTCTCAAATACATGACTTGGAAAGGTGGTCACTTTGTTTGAAGCCTCCTGAACCACTGTTCCACTCCAGTCGTAAGCGCCAACAGCACCTAACAGCAGAACATCCTTAAAAAATAAAAGAAAATAAAATTCAACATTTTAGATGTACATTTCTAAAGAAAAGGGACAGAGGCAGCTGAAGTTACCACAGATATATAACTCTGAGTTTTATCTAGGGCTGTAGCCTAATTAATGTGAACTGCTGAGTGGAGTACTTTATGGTATTGCAATCTCTGTGCTGGAATTTACTACCGTATTAGGTGGAATTATTATTATTTTACAAGAAGATAAGTAACATTTTTTTAGCTCCCAGGCCATAACAATTCAAGATAAAATGAATTTAAAATCTATGATAATCTCTTAACTTGTCCACCCTAGAGTTGGGCTCGATACCTTTTTTTTTAAATAGGTACTCATGAAAAGTACATGTACACAAACATGTACACAAAAAAATAGAATAATTTTTATTATTAAAATTCTTGCATTGCTTAACAAAGATTTTGTGCAATAAAAATAGGATGTGCTGCTTTCCTGATCAAATGCTAAAAGATTTTTTAACTTTTGTATCAAGTGCTCAGTAAAACATAACATCAATTTGTACTGACATGAAGAACTTTAAAAAATTATTTCACTATTTTTTAAGGACAGTGGAAGAAAGCATAAGACTTCATATATTTTCAATTGAAAAATGCTTGAAYCACAGTTGGAGAGAGTCTATTTGGTCAAGATAGACTTACAATTGATTATTGTGAAAAAATAGAAATTAGAAACAATAATAAATCAGATATAAGTGAAATAAGCTTTAAACAAATGTTATTAACACTATAAATACTGGACAAAGTCTTTTCAGACTTGATTTAGTTACATCCTGGTCAATACCCAGAACCAAGCCGGTTTTACAATATTGTTTCAATTCTTCTGAGTTACTCAACTGCAAAATGTCAGTTTGGAACAACTAAGCTTTTCACGCTAGGTGAACTCAGTAGTCCCTGAATTCCTTGGATTAACTTGTCACAAAATCATTATAATCAAAGAAACTATTATTCAGATTAATTTATTAATACATATCTTCCTCAAGGAAATACATACCATCAGCAAACATATTAGAAGTATTTTTTGGTGTTTAAGTGGAAAAAAAAAATCAATAAAATTTGACGCTAATCTGATGTTATGATTTCTTTGACATTTGACACTAATCATAAAACAGGGTCATTATTTTTATTACTCCTGTTCTTTTGCTTTTCTACGCATTCATATCTAGATAGTCATATCAATTTATATGATTAAATAATTAAATTCACATACCTTTTTCTGTGAGTAATATGCACTGAAGCCCACTTGTGACATTTCCATTTGGAATGTATCCCCTTGATCTGTACCTGGCATGACAAGTATTTGCATATGGTTAACCTTACAGAACCATACAGTAGACTTTGAGAGTGTATCTAATTTGTCTACTTCTCCAAGCCTATCCACTCAAATTATTTCCAACGTTTACAAACAATGGAAATTTAATACTTGATAAATGTGTTTTGCTACAAGTCTCCTCCAAAACAGGCAGAAGATGATAGGCAGAATGGCTTGTAATAGTCATGCATTATAAATGCACTTAGCAAAACCCAGGAAGYAAAAGGAGCTCAACTGATCCACTTTATTTCATTAGCAGCATGGGCCTGATTAAGAATAAAAGCAGCTGAGAGGGAAGGAAGGAAGAGATTTCACCTTAAAAAGAGTAAGGCTGTAACCATAAAAGCTTCTCAGAGAAGGCTGAAGGCAGGTCACAACTCTCACAAACAATGTCTAAAATATGACTTTAAAAACCTGACTTTCGGGATATGAACCGTCGCTGAGTTATCTCTTCAGCATGTTCCTGCAAGTTGYGTGCTGACGACTCTAGGTAATGCTAGGAAAGCGGCACAGTAGCAGCTATACTGACTGCACTACCCTAACYGCAATTTTTGATTTGCTTTTTATCTTTACACTTGCTTGGTTTTAACAGTGAAACACAGGTGAATCTAACAAAGAGAAAAGACACCTTTTCCATTGATATAAACTCCGAACCCATATGAATTAATACAAACCCTCAGAAGATGCATCAAACCCAGGACTTCAAACCCAGGAAGCTTTGAGCAACCGAAGGGCAGAAACTGACTTGAAGCAATATTAGGTGGGGGGAATAACCTCAGGAAACTCCCCCCAAACCACAGCCCTCTTGGTGAGCACCAAACAGTCCAGAGTTCCAGGTGCTCATACMATCATAGAATCACAGAAAGCTYAAGGTTGGAAGGGACCTCAGGGGTCATCTAGTCCAACCCCCCTGCTCACGCAGGGTCACCTAGAGCACGTGGCACAGGGCTGCATCCAAGATCTCCAAAGAAGGAGACTCCACAACCTCTCTGGAAAGCCTCATGAGTTTCACAGTTGTGTACTAGGATGAAGCCAAAACAAATCCTCAGCTACGAGATTCCAATCTGAGTATTTTACCTTCTATGCTAAAAATGCGCTCGCCAAGTGTTCCTGCTTCTTCTAGTAGTGCAGCCTCGGATGAGACATTAAAGAAATATTTCTCTGTTGGATGACTAGCAATTCCTTTGATTTCCTTAATTAAGTTTTTAGTATCAAGTTCATGTCTGATTAAGTATCCCAGGACCTTGGAGGGAAAAAAAMCAACAACAAMAAAAAGGAATAAAGAAGAAAACTATGTTGTTATTTCACTTTCTTCTGTATTACCTAAGTATTCAATACTTACAAAACACTAACATGACTTGCATTCATGTTACCAAACTGCTTATCAGATTATATCTCTATACAATGTACCATTCAAACAGTATAAGATAACTTCAGCAAAGGAGGAGCTGCTTATAGTAGATTAGTTCTGCTTTTTCAGTTGAGAACCAATATCCCCCTAATTCATATAGATCAATATCACAGTTTCAGTGTCACCATTGTAGACCATAAATGCCTTATATACAACTTATAAACAGAATACACACATTCATGAATATACACCAAAATGGTCACTCCAAAACTGCAATACTATATATAATTAAAATTACTTACAGCAATGCCAAACCTGGTTATATTGTCTTCATTGCATCTACCTATCACCGTTTTCAAGTTGGAGCCATCATGTGATTCACCATCTGTCACGACCACCATTACTTTTGTAGCTGAGGGGCGTCCTCCCGATTCAGGAGAAAAGGCATAACGTCTGTTATGAAATATTAGAGGTAGCAGATAGAAAATTATTTGGACGGAATTCTGCCTACATATTTAAACACACATGTTAATCACCAGCTTAAAAGAAGGAGCATCTGTAGTGATTTTTTATTTCTAAATTAAAAAACTTAATAATATATAATATTGCTCCTGATAGTTTCTTCTCAAAGCACTACTCAGAGAATAGCCAAAAATGTAAGTTAAAAAGCGTTTGGGGGAGAAAAAAATCAAAAGGTTTTTTTTTTTTTTTTTTTTTTCTCCAGATCCTGCATAGATATTTTTGTGACACCAGGGTATTAAGGAAATGACTCCACTAACTTCAAACAAAAGGCGAGACAGACTGACAACAGCTCTCTTTATACTTTGGAAAATTTTCATTCTGATTAAGAAAAAAAATCCCTAAATAGGGCATTGATTCTGTTGGTATTTAAGCCAAGAGCATAGTCCTTGACCCAACTGCAAAACAGCATCTTACTAATGAGGAATGAACCTTATTTGTATATGTACTCAGGGTAAGATATGCAGGTAAATTTTTAATATATTTATATATTTAAACTATATTTAAACTGAGTCTTGCTTGCAAATACAAGTGTTAACAGACTTACTAAATCAATGGATAAACTTTGGTCCTTTCAATGATTTTCTATTTTCCTTGAAGATTTTCTGCAGTGTTTGGTACATATCAAGTTAGACATTTGGGACAGTCCAAACAACTCCCTTGGGTACCAGAACTACTTTAGAGCAGCATTTAACCCAACAGGATATACTTTTCAGGAAGCATCCTGTTCAGCACTGAGCCTGGTGAATGTACCTGGTGGATTCTGCCTGGTGATGGGAACCTCTGTAGAGGTTCTGGGCACCTGCAGTCCCAACAGGACAGAAGTCAGCAAATGAAATTCAGGGCATGTTCATCTCCTTGCTGGACGCTGTGACCATAGTACAACAGAAATGATCACTGTCTTTTACCTTGCATAGTCAATGGCTTTGAAAGTATTAGTCAAATCTCCTCCCTTCTGATAGGTTCTCTCCATTGCTTTAACAACCTCAGTCTTCGTTTTATATTCATTCAAGTTGAACACTATGCGTGGATCATTACCATATTGAATTAAACCCACCTACAGAATAAAGACATTATGAGATTAGATTAGAATTAAATACCTTACTGTTACATGAAATCATGATGTTAACCTATTCAGCAGGCTGGAGTAAAAGATCTACAGATGCACATAAGGTTATCATTTTCTTTCAATATATACAAAACCAATTAATAGTAATATGCTTGAAAAGTTAAGCTAAATACTCTTGCATATTATGTTACTTAATATGTATTATAATATGTTAATGCAAGCAATCCGAAATTGTCATTAACCAGTTGTTCCAGTTACTTCCAGAAACATTTATGGACAAAAATAATACTGGGATACACCCAGTGAAAAATAAGAAAATAGTAAAAATTCTACAAGCTGAAAGCACCTTGTGTTGATCTTTCCTAAGAAAATTCTAATGGTTAGTTACTCCATAGCATGGCAAAAAAATGCTGTTTTTTAGTACAGGTGAATGCAATGAAATATGCTAAGAAGATGATAAAACTAAGGTTCTCCCCAACCTTGGGGAAAGAGATTTCCAGAATCCCAATCTTTGTTCCCAGAACTGTTTCTGGAAAATATACAACTGCAAAGATAGAAAAAGAGTAAAAACAGGAAATAAAGCTTTTCCTAATATCATCAAATTAAAAGAAAAAAAAAAAGATCTTCTCAAAGTTCAAAGAAGTAACTAAGCAAGAAAAAGTCATCTTCTAAAAATATAGGGCTTCAAAATTAAAAGTCATATAAAATCTCATTAGAGACTATTAATTCTATTCTACTAATTCTACTCCTACAGACTACATTTTGACGATTCTTACACCTAATACATGAAGGAGATCTGATCCCATTGGGTATATCCTAGATTTCTCTTTCAGATGACCAAAGCTCTAACTCAAATTGTGAATTCCCTTTGAAATACATTAGCTGTGAGATAGAAGTCCCAGTCTGGAAGCATAGTAGACAACTGCATAAACTTCAATCTTAAAGGAGATGCTGTAGTTATGCTAAAGCATAATTGGTTTTCTTTAAAACTGCAGAATTTGCCAATAAAACCCATTCCTTTTTTTTTTTTTTTTTTTTCTATTTTTTTCATTTTCTCATCCTTTGCTCCTTTTTCTTCTCTTTGTCTCTTTGTCTTTTCCAAAGACATCTTTGACTTACCTGGGTTTTGGTGGGGCCTACATCTAGGCTCTGCACAAACTTTTTCAAAAAAGCACGGACTGCATCCCAGGGATAGATGCTGTTTGACTCATCACAAACCACCACAACATCTACGACAGAGGAACATTCTAAAACAAAAACAAGCAACATAGATTAAATGTACTTGCAGTCTTAATTTACTTATAGCTCTTGAGCTAAATCCGTAAGTGCATTCTTAGCTCTTACATGAAGGTTTTGCCAGAATAAAGATTCAATAAAAACATATTCAGATTTTTTAGCTTGTTTTCAGTTTCACTGCTCCAGTGTAATGCCTCTGACTTCAAGGTGAGCCCAGATTCACATCAGCATTACAGAAGAGTGTGTCAATCTTTGACTTTGCTCTTTGCACATACATATTTTAAAAAATCCTCAAGTGTCTCCAAACCTTGATTTTTAACCTTCAATCTTGACTTTTTTTTTTTTTCTTTTTTTAAATGAATCAGTTTTGCACACGTTGCTTACTTTGAACAGCAGGAGCAAAGCTTCTTAGGATCTGGAAACTTGGACTGATCTCAGAACAGACTCCTGTTGCATAGTATTGGCTTCCACACTGCTGTGCCCACAGGGGACCACAAGTCTTTAAAAATGACAACAAAAAGAAGCTATAAAAATAATAAATACATGTCTCACTGTATCCATATACAAAAACCTAATAAGTTGGACTGTGAGAATATAAGATGGGATGAGCCTACTGGGGTTATTAATACCAGTCTCCTGCTATCACCATGACGTAACCTTGTTTTGTACTTTGGTTTCTCATAGAAAAGACTCTCTGTTCTTGATCATCCTTACGCCCCATTCTGCGAACCACTCAAACCATTTCTTCCAGGCTATGCACAGTTGTATCTTCTAGAGAGTGTAAATAAGTTTGCAGGGAATCTGTTACTTTCATTTGTCTGCTTTACAAACCACCGGATAAAAAAGTAGCCTTTGCTCTCTGTATATATATGCATGAGAACAAGTACTCCCGCTAGCCAGGAGATGGCATCACACCCACGAGCGAGAGAACAGGTTGAGCTCCGCTGGATCTGCCCTGTGGTTGCAGCACAGCCAGATCTCAAGTGGAAAGGAGGAAACCCGTGGTTCGTGAGGGGAAGGGAGAGCAGTGCTGTCGCTTCACACAGTTTTCTCACATAAAGCCACAGTGTGAAACCTCCCCAGAATTCAAGTATCTGATATTGGAGGGATTTTTGCAAAATTACCTACAGGAGAAAAGACAAATACACAGGCACTATTTTGTTATATAGTTATTTGTGGGATTTTTTTTTTTTCTTTTTGAAGAAAATCACTTGAAATACTTAGGGAAAAAAATACATAACCTCTGTCCCACAATTCTGAAAGAAATGACAGCTTCATTACTAACACTTTCTTATTCACCTTTCAAATGAGGGGTCCTGGAAAACAGAAGGTGCCACCACTATGTAGAAAGTGAAGAGAAACTGAACAGCATCCTTATTCTTTTCTCAAAACTACTGAAAAAAACAGCTACTTAAAGGCAGTGGGAAATTAAAAATGAGCTAAATGTGGCACAGGTTTACCAGGTTTACATTAGACTATCCTAATATATTTGTCAAGATGTCTTAACTCCTGGAAGAGAGAAAAGAAGTATATTTCTCCTTTTGTCAAAAAGGACACCTCACCAAAGAAGGCGTTAGCTAGCAGGTGTTAACATGCAACTGTGTCTGTTTTTAGTGTGTGTGTGTGTCTTTATGATATTTAGGTCAATCAACACTGTATGGATCAGGAAGGCCTTTTTAACTGAAGGAAGTTCAAGTGTAACTAGAAAATGACAATTTTCCTGCATGAGATGCAGTAAGTTACTATAATTACTGATTCTAATTTAATTGGAAATGTGATGGCATTAGCACTAATTAAAGATGTCACCCTTAATAATCAGAGACATAATCAAACTTTAAATCTATTTTCATAAGCCAACAATCAAGAGAAGCAGTGTTGCTGCAATTTAAACTTATGATTATCCTTACTGACTTCTGAAAGCAATGAAGAAAAAAGCTGGAGAGCCTGGAGTTAGACATTCTTTTAAGTACTTCAGTGAACTGCGGTACACGATAGTAAAGATAAATAGTTGAATACTTGTATGATCGCTAGCAAGATGCAGCGGAAAAGATAAAACATTTAAAATGAATGAGTAGAGGCCAGAGCCTCTGAAAATTGGAGTTTTCCTGATTTTGTAGCCTAAATAGATACATGGAATATTTTAAAATAAACACACTACGTATTAATCCTTGCTGCACAATAAAACAAATTCATTTTGGACTTAAGTAAAAAGTGTGTAGAATCGTGTCTTCAATTCTCCATAGGAATTTCGTGTTTATTGAACGCATTATTGACACATACCAGAAATCCTCCTGTTTTTGAGTTTTGTATCAGAGTCAAGCCGAGGTTCATATGTTCCTTTATCTCAGTCACATTTGGAATGGTGGTTAAAGCTAAAATAAAGTGGTTAAATAAGGACACAGGAGTAAATAAGATATACAAGCAATGTAGAACTTCAGAATTTCTTTTCTAAAAGCCTCATTTCCTCCCCATGATCTAAGATGCCTCTTCTAAATGCCTGTATAAAGTTTTGTGAAAAAAGAAAACTAATCTCTGTGAAAATTCTGCTAAATATGAATTTTAATTCATATAAATGTGTAGAGGTTAATTAAGTGTGGTAAAAAATGTAATTTAGAGTGCCTTTCCTCAAGAGCTAAAGGCAACAGAATGGAAAAGACAATTTCTTCTTGTAAGTACTTTTAGTTGGTTGAGTAGCTACAGTTGGGTGGCTATTGTTACTGTCCACAGGGCATCAGATTCCTGTGATTCTGTATTACGCTTTAGACAAAAATGTGAAAGGACTCATGAATGACAGAAATGCTTTGCCCTATAAAGGAAGTTACAGTAGGCATCTCAACATACTGTACTGCGTTCAGAATAAAAACGTTACTGTCCTCTATCATTCTTCATTTTCACTGCATATGAAAAAATCTCATGTGAAACTTAATCCATAAGGACACAGAGACACAAAAGGCAACATACAGGATGCTAACTAAAAGCCTTCAAAATGAGGCTGTAATGAGAACTCTCAAGTATAAGGTAAATATATTATAAATATTACTTACATTGTTAATAATAGGGAGGATAGAAATTTCTAAGAAAGATGAGAGCACTGACAGAGGCAGAATAAAATGTTTTCTCAGAAAGATATAACAAATAGTAATAATGGTAATAAAGATCTAGAATAGGCTAATTCTAGAAATCAAATCCACCTTACGAATTTGTGAAACAAATGAAAAAAAAATCACATGAGCTGCTGTAAAGAATGATTATGTGCAAATTCGTTTTACAACTTAAATATAATTGACAAGGAGAGGGAAGACTATTAGAAATGGCCATATAAAAATTTTTGATATCTGTATTTTATTTTTCAAGGGACCTAAGTCAAAAGAATGATGACCTTGTCAACAAAACTGAATTTTTTTCTGAATGCCAATACAACAAACACGATCCCCCCCAACACTAACTTTTGTTATTGGATTTGCTGCTTGCTGATTGCTCTTTTGACATACTAGCCTGATACAAAAATGAAGAAAAACTGAACAATTATTGTGAGACATTACTCATTAAAGCTTACCTTGTAAATTTAATTTTTTGCATGTAGTTTTGGATGTACCAACGGGACATGCATAGATATCTCCGGTTCTATTAGCTGGATACCCGCTCCAAGGTGAACCAACCAACAACCTAAAATAACAGGAACTTCATTAGTTCTTTAATGACACTGGGAAAGATCATAGGCAATATTACACAGTAACTGAAGGTGACAGGTAAAGAAGCTTCCCAGAGACCTAACACATAAGGAATTAAAGGGTTATCTCTAGAGCTGTTCAGAAGGTGAACTTTACTCAGGTACTAATACACTGGATTCAGTATGTGAAGGGCAACTTTGGTAGAGACTCCTCCAAGGTTTAGACTGGCTGAAACATATATAATGTTGTTATTGTGATCTCAAGCTAAAATGTCAGAGAGATCCAGCAAAGTATTAATATATACTAATATATAAAAAAAACAACAACAACAAAAAACCCAGATACATACACTGTGAATCAAAAGACATCAGTTTTATTCTCCTGCCTGGTAACAGTTGACTGATTTCTCTTAAGTTATTCTTTTAACTGATAAAAGGATCTACTCAGTGATAACAAAGCACTTACGCCTTTCAATCCTACCACACCTTGAAAACACTGAGTCAGAAAGAAAACACTGCAGGTGACTGGAAACTGCAGCACGAAGTATATTTAATCCTGAACAAGAGCTTTAAGACTTATGAAACTTTCTGCATATGGTATCAAGTGATTCACCTTCTAGCAGTCTTGGTTTGCCAAGGCGTGCCCTCCTCAAAACATGATCGTCACTCTAATCCCATAAACTTTAAAAACATCTAAACCACTTTGTGGGAATGCTGCTTACCAGTACCTATGGTTCAGCAAAGCTCTCTAAGAGACCGAGACGGAGTGAAAGGCATGTAAAGAAGAACATGACCAAGACCTTCAAGAGATATGAAAAAAATGAACCATCTAATTAGAAAGCAGGGTCTGTGGGTATTTCCTCTCATAGCAATGTAGGACTTGCTGTTTATGCAGCAAAATCTCTGGTAGCAGACTTAGAAAGGACAAGCAATGGGACGTCAGTACAGAATACGGAGTTTCATTAGGACTGCTAGACGCTCAGTTGGCCTCCCCTAATACTGAATAAGTAACAATTTTAAACACATTGCACCATAATAACAACACATTTTATAAAATGATTACGTTTCAATGTAATTGCTAGATGCCCCCACTAGATTTCTAGGGACCATCTCATTTCATTCCTGCATTTTAAAATAAATAAAGTTAGTTTAATTAAAATAAGTGCAATAAAAAATAGTTTTAGATGCAGAAGCAACAGTTTCATTCAGCTTTGCACTATGGAAAATACCACCTACGTTTTAAAATTTTATTTCATCTCAATTAAACACAAATTTAACAGTGCAAGTAATATTATTCCATTTTACCAGTTCAGGTAGGAGAAAATTCACATTTTATTTTCTTGGCATACAAATAATTTAAAAATACTCACTACCTTCCTAATTACTTGAAAATGGTAATTATACAGGCAATAGGAACAAGTTTTGTGCAGTGTTGGCATCTCCAAACCTGCAATTGAGGTTCACATAAATACCTCTCTCTAAAAGCAGCATGTGTTACAGTTGCTGTGAGGATGCCTCTGACCTTGTACCTCTTCTGCACAGTAGAAACTAGAACCATCGCTGGTCAGGACCAAACAACCAGGGCCCATTAGAAACTCCTCCTTAAACTGGACACCGGCAGACCACGCAACTGTCAAACACCTGCAGTAGCACGTAGGGCTGGAGCCTCTGATGACAAGCTGCTATAGTCTCTGTTAAGTATTATAGAGTAATATACCGTAATAAAATGATAACTGGGGTAACAGCAGAGGGAAAAGGGCCAACTGTTTTCTTAGAAAGAAGAAGAAAAAAAAAAAAGGGAAAAGAAGAACACAAGGGAATGAGCAACACCATAAAGTTATTCCACCTCCAGACATTAAGTTTCAAGTTGAATACTGCACTGCACACATTAGCAAATATTGGCCTATCTTTCCCAAAAGACAAATATAACTGGGAATCCACGCAGGAGGATAGTTGCTATTTAAAAAGATGCCCTTAAAGAATTGTGGAAATACCCTTACGTCACAGTGTCCTGTCACATAGTTTGCTGTAATAGTCTGGACTGCGCTAGAGTCATCCTGCAGCGATGGGTTATCTTTAAGTCTAAGCACACTGTTTATACAGACCGAGTGAAAATGTGAAGCAACAGGAAGCTCTGCTGTGATGATCTCACTCCTCAAACAGTTGAGCTGTAATCATTTTCTTGCCCACATCTGTACATTTAATTAACCAATGGTTGATGTAAATGAAAGATTCCCAACTTGTACTTCTGCGGCCGAGGGGACTGGTGTGGTCCTGTCCCTTAGGCCTCTCCCAGGCCTGCCAGGAAACGGCCTTTGCTCTGTGGGGGCCGGGAAACAGAAGCCTTCCCCCTCCTCCAGCTATGCCTACAGTAGGGAAAGGAGCCCCGGAAAACGAACTTGAGAGAAAGTGTCTTTAATTACTGTGATGTTGAAAATTATAATGTAGCTAGAGATAGAAATGTGTTAGAAGTTTGTTCTCCTGCCAGCCCTAACCTTCTGCTTTCTGCTGTCAACCTTTCTGCACCTAGGAGATAATTTAATTATTATTCCTCTTGCAGTTTAGGGTTTCCCCTAGACTAATGCTGACATTACAAATATTTGCCTTTTGAAGTTAACATGAACCAATACTGTTACACGATGCAGCTCTGGGAAAATATATGCACATGCATCTTCCTAAAACACGGGAAATGAAGAATGCAAAAGAATACCTGGATAGCAGCCTGCTAGTTACAAAAATATCTCTTTACAAAACGTGTGTGAAGTAAAATGAAATTGAATGCATCCTCAGAGATAGTCCTTACATAATACTACACTGATTAGTGCATGATACTGCTCAGACTTTATTAGTCAGCTAATCCTTAATCAGTCTCCTACACTGTACACAAAGCAACGGAACTTCACGAAGTCAAATAAAGTTCATAGGCAACGTCACACCACACAGGCTGCAGAGGTGGCAGAGCAGAGTCGAATGTGAATTATTTCTGGGAAATTACACCATGACAAAGCTAATAACTGGCAAAGTGTCCCATAGCAGAAAATAAAATTAGAATTCTTGCTGAAAGGCTGAATTCTCAGCTGTTGTCGGAATGGTTTATATTTTTTAGTGTGGGTTTTTCTTTTTTTTTTTTTTTAAATAAAGGTGGCCAATGAAATAGGAATATGAAAGTAGAAAGGACCTCTTGAATCATCTGCTCCAGTTCCCTACAATTATGGGAAATGATTATAAAGACTGGAAAAGTCTTCATTCTCATAGACCCTTCTCTGAAGGCCCCAAACCCCATATCATCAAAAGCCTAGTAGCCTTTGACCAAAAGGCCAAAGAACTCAAAAGCTAAAGGCAAGTCACAGCAAGAGAAGTTTAAAAGGCAATGCATAGAAAAAACACTGGTGCTTTTCAAAACAGAGACAGACAAACACTCCGGTGAGGGAAACACCGCTGGGTTAGGAACTGTGTTTGCCTGTACCAGGGGTGTGGGCATTTGAAAGCAGAAGGTATAACGATAGCAGCAAATTGTTCAAAAAGAAGCTGGGCAAAATGTGATATCTTCATTAAAATCAGGAAGATTTCAAAATTTATTGATTTCCAGAAAAGCTACTGTAGAAATGTGTCTTTGCATCAAAACATTTTATTGGTCCAAAGAGGTAAAAGCAGTTCTGAAGAAAAGCTACCATGCTTTGATCAGTAAAGAGCAGTTTGCAACAATTTTGAAAGCCCGAAGATTATGCTGATACACCAGTAACTGTAGTGCTTATAAAACTGTCTTTACATGGCAAGAAATAAAACAATGCATGTTTAAAAGGAGAGAAGAAAAAAAGCCAAAACTAAATTCAAAACAAAATTCAAAAATTCTGAATCCTAAACATATCCTGAAGACACACATACATAGATAATAATCAAAGAAAACAAACAAACAGTTTAGCAGCCATATACACCTGTCTTCCTCATTTGGAGAGAGATACAAATAAATAAACAAACTCAACCTTTGAAAATATCAACATTGCTGGTTTTGCAGAATATACTATGAGCTGTTGTGCTTGACATACATATTTAAGACAAACTAGAGGCAGGCTACAATCCACCCTTATAAAATATTAGCTTTTCGAGAGAAATGCCCATTTGTTCTCAACTTGAGGTTTCAATACAGGCAATCTCATCACAGGGAGAAGCAGAGTGTAAACAGAATGAGGTTTCTGTTGTGTCTAATTACTGGTATGGGGCTCTGCATAGATTTTTCTATTTGATGACCATGTTTCTTTGGCACTCACAATTTTCTTTGACTCCATCAAAGAGCTCCAGTTCTGAAATTGCCACCAGGCACAGCCAGAAGCTTGAGTTCTGCTTGACTTGCAAGTTTGTGCTTATTTGTATTGCACTGTGTGCCATCAATGCCCTCGGTGGCACAACAGTGTCCAATTATCCTGGGCCATCGGACTCTGCACACAAAGAGCTCCTTGCTGGTTTGCATCACAGCTTCCCCGCACATACAAATCACCTTGCAGTCCTCAACTCCTGGTTTGATAGTCTTCCCTTTCCCATCTGAACTCATCTCCCAGCAGAAGCTGATACATACTGCTGTGTGCAGTCCAAATGCTGTAAAAATTCTTCTATCCTCATCATTTTCTATAACTCTCATTGCCTCAGATAGGTGCCTCCCATAAACACATTTAAATAACTTAGCTGTTGTTTTCTCTCCTTTCTGCTCTTTGGGAGAATACAGACAGAATTTGAAAGCTCCACATACAATACCATGAGATTTTATTAACACAAACAAAGTCAAGGAAATGTGGAATCCACTTCAAATAAGAAGCGATGACATTCCTAGAAGATCATAGATTCTGGATAGTGTCACTCTTGCAAACAGCCACCACCCAGCATGATTGATGTGGTGAGCAGCTCCACTATTCCTGAACGGATTTTTCAAGTGCACCACACACATGTTCCTGAATAACAACCCCTCCATAAAGAGATGAGTAATAAATGCTCCTTTTTGTCAGAAAGCAGCATCACAACCTCCTGTAAGGCCCGTTGCTCTTTATCACGCTCCTAGTTTAGCCATGCCAACAAGCCAGCCAGCCTTCCATAGACAAACTGCAGTTGTGCATCTCTTGCAGTAAAAACATGTTATTGAACAGGTTGAGCGCCTTCCCCCCCCCCCTTTTTTTTTTTAATAAAATGCACAATAAAAGTATTGCTCTGCTAAGAGAAAGAAGCTAGCCTAACAGTGAAGAAAGCAAGAGAGCAAACAACATTTTTAAGCATGTCTAATGATTTTTTTTTTCTCACGAGAAAGCCTGAAAAGAACTTTTCTTCACTAAAACAAAAGCCCCTACACTTCTCCTGACTTTTGGGATGCTGATCAGTGCAGGACACTGAAGTGAATGAATGAATGCTGACAAAGAACTACCTATCTACCGAAAAGACTCCCAGATTCTTCACATTCATACACCTAGAAGAAAGGACATACAAGTTATTCCAAAATTAATTTCTCTAACATATCTTATGAAACCCTAGTATGTATTATGAGAACTCCTTCATTACCATTTTCTTGAATATTGGGAATATACAACAGGGAAATATAAAACAAAAATAAGCTGGGTGAGTTTTGAGCCTAGTGCTCCTTTTGTAAATTTAGAGAAATAAAAAAGGTGCAAGAAGAACAGAGCACAGCACATAATTTTCCCCGAAATACCAGGTATGAGCTGAACCTTGAACCATTCAATTCACTTGAGGCAAATATTCTCGTTCTCCTTCAATAGCTTCACACAGAAGTGTGGGTTTTTTTTTTTTCTTTTTTAAGAAAGAAAAAGGAAAGTCAAAAAAGAACTCTGAACTATGGGAGGCTAAGCACATAATTAAATTGGGGAGAAACAGTGAAAAACTGCCATACGTCAGCCAAGGAGAAAGGAAAGTGTGCCCAAAATGGGAAGAAGATATCTCAAAATATTAGCTCTGAGGATACAGCTGTGCTCTCCTCTTAATCAGCTGGTTACTGTGCATGTAAACAAGTTAATGCCAGAGAGGCAATGAAATCTAGGTAGTCTTACATGCACAAAAAAATGCAGCTGCAAAAGTATTCCTCTGGGTAGGGGAGTATAAGCATCTCAGCTAGATCTCTATTATCATATGGACATTTCCCAAATGTTAAAGGCATTTTGCATGTATTTCCATAGTTTTCATATTTTAATATCTTTTCACACAGAAAAGTTCAGCTATTTACTACCTGCCCATTTTTACTTAAATGAATATGCCAAATTGTGGCTTTCCTGGTTCTGATATTGCTTCAATCAATGGAAAATGGGGCATCTAAAAGGCACCATTTTAGCTTGTTTCAGCTTGTTTCAGCTTAAGATATAATCTGTACCTTCCACTACACATTCAATAAATATTTAAGGCAGTTGATCACTGAAGTATTTATAGATGTGCAGTCCCTGATATGACAAGACACCTTAAACTCTGCCTGCAGGGACCCCAAAGGAGAAAAAACACATTATCTTCCACTAAATGGGCTTACCCTACATTAATACTCAAAGTTTTTGACAACCAGCTTTACTAGAGAAAATATTTCACTAATTACTCATCAAGATCAATGTTTTGACAACAGTGGATTTCGTATCAACTTTTAAGACTGAAGAAACGAAGCAGAAACAAGGCCCTCAGATTTTGTTACCATATACACTCAAACACATGGCCCCTGAAGAAGGGAACACCTAATATTGTATCAGAAACAAAACTACCTAGATGTAAGTTGACATTATTTTAACATAAATGACTGACTTTAACCTCAGCAATATCCCAAATATATGGAATGTGTAACAGACAGACTGTTGAATGGAGAATGACTGAAATCAAAGTTAAAACTCTGCATGACACTGAGTTTTAGGAAACAAGTGTAATGTTGAGAAAGTAAAAGCTTAGCCGGACCATATTATTTCAAGGAAAAAAATATGTTCATATGCGTTTCTTCATATGAATATAAAAGTGAATATCTTTTTTTTAATATAGTTAGTATTTACTAACAAAAAGGATAACTTTTATATACATATAAATAGGAACTCATTTAAATGAAACTTTTAGTTATAAACATAAAGCAAGTTGCAACATTTTTCTTTATGCTAATTGGACATATAACAAGGTATTCAAACTGCTTACCATTTGCCTTGTTCATTTACAAACTGTTGTACTGCATATCCAAATTGCTCTCTTGATGGACCAGAAAATATTTTTGCTCCCAGAAGCCCAACGTTGTAGGCTTCACAGCAATTATGAAGAATGCCTGTTAAAAGAAAGATTAATATTACCAAAGAAGCAATTAAAGAAGAATTTTGATCCTAGTGAAAAAAGCTTTTATCTGTGCTAGCTCCCCCAATTAGGAAAACAAAATGTCGCCTTTGACACGCGCAATAAAAAGCAGCCTCTCTCCTAATAAATAACAATATTCATCTCCCCATATGCAATGCCTGTATAGCACACATTGTAGGCATTGTGCAGGCACAGATAAATGATTCATTCACTATTTTGTTTAACAAATTACTAACCATTACTAATACGAGTGCTTTAGTTCAAGAGAGAAGAAATACGATCACAGGTGTTTTATCTTCTACCTGAAGGGAAGAACAGTAACCATGTCAATGGTGGTGGGTACATGGCTATATGAAGATGAAAATCTTAGTGATAACTGTTAATGCTGTTTGTATTCTGCTGTCTATCCACAGGTTATTGTTTGAAATGCAGGAATAAAATTCAGACTGTCTACAGTATCAGAAAATCTACATTTCTGAGTCATTTCATTATTATACCATAGTGTTTGTTTTCTGTCCAAACAGTCAGAACAGTTGTCCAAACAGGAAAACTTAGAAATATAAACATGAAAGATTTATTACTGCATTAATATATTGTGACACTTAATCCTGAACCTGCACTTTGCTAGGATCAGGGTACTAATTGCTTTTCGTTGAGCACTCCAATGCCTAGGAATAAAGAAATTTTTCTCCATTTCATGTGATTTCATTTTCAGGCAACCAGCAGAGCTGGTGATAAGGTTCTGAATGTCTCAATTTTGCAAGGTGTGCAGCTCAAGTTATTAATTCATAAAGGACCTTATTTCTTAATAAATGGAAGTTGTTTATGGACATCAGGGAACATAACTATTATGAAAGCAGCAGGAAAAGAGTCCGAGACTCCTAGTATCTATGAACAAAATTTCTTCTGCCCCTGCTTAGGAGTGTAAGAACCGAGACTATGGTAGCATCCCTGGAATAAGCTACAGATCAGCTGCAGACACTTTAGGGCTGAGGAAAACCTGCCAAAAAAAGGCAATTAAGGAAGAAATCATATCCATCATTCTACTGTGAAGTTATTGCCTCAGGTTTCCTGGTGAGATGAGTTCACAGAGTTGCTCACTGGGTAAACAACATCCCTCTCACTTCCCACCCTTCCTGTGTGCCCTGACAGGATGAGTTTTGTCTGTTCTACATGTGAGATATATCTCCGTTATTAAATAAATGTTACTGCAAGGTACTGAACTTTAAGGCTACTACATATAAAAGCAGAGATGCGTTGAAAGGATGTGCTATCTTTGACATCCTAAAAACTTCAGCTTAAAAGTTTAGATAACATCAAATAACATCACAGTGATAAAATATTATAGTCACAACTGCATTTTACCAAGTAAAGCTCACTACATTTAAAAAATATCAATGAACTTTATAACTTAGCTCATATAAATGAGACTAGCAAGAGATTAAATACAACTCATATGCAGAACTTCTACTTTCTGGCCATGAACTTAAAACAGGAAATCATATATTAGTCATTTCAAACAACCACTGCCTAAAACTATAATTCCTTGAGAAAAAACATTAGAGATAAGAGTTTTTCCCTGGTCATGTTAACCAAGATTGGAGAAGGTGAGCAGAGTCACAGCAATCAGGGTATTTTGCAATACTTTTGACACTAATTGCAGCCACATAAATTCATAGTTCAAGTCTGGGTTTTGGCAGGAGGAGACACTAACTATGTAAAAATCAGAATATTGTAGAAATTTTGCCAGCAATTCCTCGGTCATTAATGTACTTGCATTTTAAAAACAATAAGGCACAAAAGTAAACCTAGAAAGTAGTATAAGCAAAATATTTTGATAAATTGCCTTATCCTCAGGCAGAAAACAAGTGTAATTTAGCAGTGCCTGATGCTTAGAGGCCACAGGAGACTGCTACCGGAGTCAGAAACTGTTCTGGCAGGCAAGAGGGATTGTGGTTGTCTGTTCTTGGCTCTTTATAATCCGTCACATCTACTGTTAGCCACCAATAAACCAAGCAAGGAGAGGCGCTGTCCTGCACAAATGCTCCTGTGGTTCCAGGTATGTGCTATACCGCCTCGACTAGCCAAATTCCCACTTTCCTGCTTGTGCTGTGCCTGAGTGCTGCGGCCAGCGGAGCTGTGGCGAGAGCCTCCCTGCTGCAGGATGCCCAGGGATTCCCAGTACCTCGTGCACCTCTGGGCTCAGCAGCAGCCACAGCCGCCCTGCCCTCTGCCTCCTCAGTGGCCGTTGCAGCAATCTGGACCTTGCTGCTCCGTCTGGAGAGTCTCCAGGACAGCTCTCCTAAGTTCCCCGCTCACTTGGAGGCAGGGCCCGAATCTCAGCAATGAAGGCAGCACCTTCCAGAAGAAGCCCTGGGGACACTTTGATCCCCACAGCTCCTCTGGGGCACAGGATGAAAGGCAGCATTTGCTAAGAGAAGCATCTCTGTCTCCCCATGCATGCCCAGCAGTCAGCACACGCACACAACCCACACCCATCCACAGCGGCCAGGGCCTGCAGGCTCAATCTCCTGCTCCTCTTCCTCAACCAACCTCCCACTTCTGCAGCTTCTCTCCATTTCCCAGGCTGCACATCAGGGAGAAAACCCTCCTGGCTGGCCAGGGGAGGCAGACCCCAGGGGTGAGCGACCCCAGCACCACCTCCGAAATAGCGGCGCTCCTCCATGACCCGCTCTCGTCCAGGAGCCACCAGGCTCTAGGGGATGGGGAGCCGCTGGACAGAGCTCAGCCATGGAGCAACCGCTCCAGCTGGGCTGAAACGAGAGGTCAGGGTCTGGGGTATCCACAGGGCCTGCACAGATGCAGGCAGGGGCCAGAGAGGGACCCCACAGCTCTCGTGCTTGGCTGCAAAGCACCTGCACCCTTCACCCTTCCTAGTGCTTCCTCCACCTCAGCTGTTTTAAGTGCCTTACCTGACATGACGCAGTGCCAGGGGACAGAACTGTCTTCTTTTTGCTGGCAGAGTTAGCTCTGCTTGCACCCATTTTAAATGCCAGCACTTCTTATGCTGTTAACTCTCAGTTATTGTTATCTTTTTTTAGTGTTCATTTTCATTAGCTCTTAATGTTCCTTTGTACTACCTCACCATGTCTTGGTTTTATTCTTTTTAATCCTTTAGATAGCCTCAGTATTAAAGCATTGCTCTTTAGGGGTAGAAAGTTTTACAAGGAACAATGAGGAGAAAAAAAAAAAAAATCAGATCACAATGTTCAGTTCTCAAAACTGCCTCCCTCATTCCCTCATCCTTTCTTTCTGGCTAGACAGCCAGTCAAGAGTAGCAAAAAGAAAAGGAAGAAAAACAAAAAAAGCAAACAGGAAGCCTACCTCGAAAATACACTGTCCTCTTAAATGTGCCTATGGATCTGCTTTGCCTCCCACTTTTGACTACTTTGCAAAATCAAAGTTAAAAAAAAATGGTAACCACACTCTGAGTCACCACAAACATTATCAAGCAAACGATAGTGTCAACATACTTGAATCACAGTCATTTTAAGTTCTACATTCTGATAATTGTTAGTAGGTTTTTGATTTTACATCGATTCTGCACAAAATACTTGTTGCACTGGGCTTTGTGAGGTCCACAGAAGAATTATCCAGAAGACAGTTTTCTTGTCTTTTTCCTCCATCTTACACAGTGCCTACTCTATAAGTAGACCTTTTATTTCTTGCTTTCTGCATCTGTCTAAATACAGTATTCAGAATCCAAGTATTTGTAGCCAAAAAAAGAGAAAATGCTGTTTTCTCCAAAACTATTTCAAGCTTCTCCCAGAATAAGAGGCTCTCTTATGCATTAAAAGGGCGCCAATCCTTGAAGTGTCTAGATTCAAAGTACTGTATATTACAGGCTGGAAAAATTCAGTAGCTATTGCTGCCTGGAGGCAGTGAACTTGCACAGAGAAAGATTCCCAAAACAGAGAGAGTTAAAGCTCAGGGTTTTAATAGCTTTTGATGACAGAATTCTAGTTTGTGACCTAACAACCATGATGAGGGATTAAGACAAGTAGAAATCTGCTTCCTAACTTCTGTCCATAAATGCTGCTTAATTCAGTCAAATAAGCAGATTGTGTGGAACAAAGGAGGTGAGACCAAGCCTTGAACTTCTGAAGGCTCCTCTGGAAATTTCAAAAGCTGCTCTTTCTCTCCACTGATTAAACAGAGAGCCTGGATGTGTTGGTTTAAAGAAGGTTGCTCCATTTAGCAGACTCATTCCCAACCTATGTTTTGGACCACAAAAAAAAAAAAAAAAGTTATAGAAAATATCCTTAGTGGGACAAAAGGAATCTGCAAGCTTTCCAGTAAAGCTCCTGTATCTCTTTGCACTGTATTTTTTCTGGTATTGCCCATACTTTATCCACTGAATTTCAGTATAAACAAAAGGAGATGGAATGCAAGAGCACAGCTGCTTTTTTAAGTTTGTATCACCATTTTCTTGCTGCTAATATGATGGAAAGCAATACATGTTCTGACTGGGCACCTCTAAGTCTGAACATGAGGGAATTCTTCTGCAACTATAAATGACATTTCTAATGATGGCTATAATGACTTCTGCTTACTGCTGTTAAAGTACAAGCTGAAGCAAGCTTTTTTGAAGTAATAGCTCATGTAAGGAACACACAGCTTATAACTGGATTTTCTATGCAAAATTAAATAGAGCTCCCAACTCACATTGAGCAAGCAAAAAATGTATCCATTGGATAATCCATCATTTGATGTCATGATTAACCTAATTGTGTAGTTGTAAACCTTTATTCAGATTAGGCAGTATAACAGAAAAAGCATCTTTTTAACGGGATGAAAAGCTACAAAGTGAAATAAGATTTTTGTGTGTGCTTGCTTGATTTACGATGTAAGCTTCTAAACTTGTAATAAAATGTACTAAAAAGATTGTTAGTCTGCCTTTAAAGTCTCTGAGACTTTAAGATGGTGGAAATATATCACGGAATCATATGAACA